AGTGCCGTCAAAATTGCCTGTAAAATACAGAATCACTACACTTTATATTACATGAAATGCAAAGATTTTATAATTATACCCCATGATTATTCTCTCATGAGCTGAACATTGCACGTTATAAAGATGGAGGAACGCTTGAGTGGGTTGTAGGTGCGACCAAACCTAAGATTACTACTTTAATGCCACTCTGGGGTATCTGCTTTTAAGAAAATATTATAATTATTTTTAAGACATTTTGTGTTAATAACAGCTGTCAGGACAGCCACCAATTGGCAGATCACTTCATGTTGTCAGTTTATAATGAAGAATTAAAGATTGACTAACTGCATTAGTTCAACAACAATAAATTGGATTTATATAGCGCCTTTCACTTCGGGAAAAGATCCCAAGGTGCTGGACAAACTTATGGATAAACAGTTTGAAGTTTATTATTTATGCCTTGAGCCCCTAAGTGGCACCATATATAATGGATTGCTGTAGCATTGTGGTTAGAATCCTTGCCTCGCAAGCGAGAGGACTTGGCTTGGATTCCTGGGAAGGTCGAAACGCTGGTCAAGTTTCCTTACTCCACATGCCTCTGTTCACCTCGCAGTAAGGAGGAACCTAGTTGTTAGTTGATTGGCGGATTGTTTTTCTGGGGGTAATAACCCCTTCAAATAATAATTTGGTCAATAAATCCATGACTGTTTGTGGGACACTGCTGTGCGCAATTGGCTGCCGCGTTTCTCCCAAATCAATTTACAGTAATTTTTTTCACGGTATTCACTAACAATGAAGCATTGTTCATTGGCATTAATTTTAACCTCAGAAGATCAACAATAAAAACTTGCATTTACATAGTGCTCTTCATGCAGAGTAGTGTCTTGGAGCGCTTAAGATCATTCCGAAAATGTGACATTTCCGTTGTGTACACCAGGGATGGCCAGCTTACGGGCCGCAATATGCATGTGCAAAGTAGTCACCCGGACTACATGATTTTTTTAAAAAAGGGTTGGCCACCCCTGATCTGCACCATCTGTTTTTTAGGCATTCTTTAGGAATAGCTTTGCCAGTTTAGTGCTATATTATGAATAGGGAACCCTGAAAATTCCTCTTCAGGTCTAGAAGTTTTTGGTGAAGCTTCAAGGGTTTACCAGCCAAATTTTGAGTACTACCAGAATTATTTAGAAGATTGGTTGTGGGCGGGGAGTGGTGGGGAGGGGGGATGGGGGAATGCGAAGCACATTTTAAAATATTTCCACAATGAGCAGAATTTATTTAGGAATGCCACAACTTTGACTCCCATTAATTTCACAAATGGTTTACCAGAAAGTAAAGATCTTTCAAATCAAAATGTCAATATTTAAAGCTTCTGCTTAAGGCAGCCAGTGTAAAATTGTTTGCTGTGGGAAACATTGCTGCCTCCCCATAGGAAAATCACATCAAGAATGTTTTGTAGAACTACTTTTATGAATAAGTCCAGCATTTATTTGTTACTGATCTTTCTTCTTGGTTAAGGCTTTACTGTTGGTTCAAAGTGATATTTACAATTTTCCCTGGGAAATTCAAAATCTTTCAAGTGTTACTGGTGAGGGTACTGATGTTATTGCTAAATACCTTGACAAGCCCTCTTCCTGTAGAGCCCTTGTATCTACTTGTCATCATCTCATTTTTATCTGCCGTTCATCCCGTATTGATTCTGTTGTATCACGTACTAAATTCCAGGTTTGTTCACCATTTGTTTTCAGACATACATTTCCAATGGCTACATCCTCATGTTCACACTATTGTAACACAGAAGAATATCTTCCCGAAGTAATGCAGTTCATACTAGTCTGTTATCCAAACAACTGGGCATCTAGACTGTACAGTGGTTACCACATACATAAATAATACACAGTACCATTAAACTCCTCACCCAACGGCATGCAAAACCACAGTATATATAACTGCCTGTTTATACAAGTGACCTTTGGTGGACTCCGCATTGCCGAGTAACTAACATATATAATATCTACACTACATGTAAGCCTTTGTAAGGTTCTGAAATAGAAAATATTATAAACTTATTTTTAGTTTAGCTCCATTTTGTTCAATATTTTATGAATGTCATTCAGTTATTTAAGGTTAGTACAATACATCATGCAACTCACCTTCAACATTACAACTTGTTTTTGTGTGTGAGAGTGAGGAAAGTTGCCTCTTTAATTTTCTGTTCTCTTCCCAAATGCTGACTTCTGTAATGCATCGTTCCACATAGTACAGCCTGCCTTCCAGAATGGCTTCTGCATGTATGAGTACAGCTAAGCTCAATATTGCTCTCACCTGATGTCAATAAGTGTTAACTATGCCTTTACCTTTTGACCTGAACACATATGGCTGTACAACCCAAAGGTGCATGTTTATAATCATCCTAGAGAACCTTATCACGTTGAAATGTCTCAAAGTGCTTCACAAGATTTTACTGTAAAGTGATTATATATTTACATGCAAGTGCAGCGGCCAATTTGCACACATCAGTGTCCCATAAAAGCCATAAAGTGAATGACTAATTCTGTGTGGAGAATTGTTGACCAAGACACCAGGAGAAACCCTGTTCTTGTGGGATCTATAATGTCCGCCTGAATAAGCAGGTAGAATTTCAATTTAACATCTCATCCGATGAACTGCATCTCTGACATTGCAGCACTCCCCAGGCACTGCATTGGAGTGTCAGGCTAAACTATGAGCTCAAAGTCCTGATGTCCGGCTTGCACTTGTAACCTCTGTGGACATTTTCTGCAGGATATTTGCTTGGTTGGGAAGAGATGGCTTCCAGTGCCTTGATCTTTCTTTGTCGTGTAGTGTAGTGATGTAGCAGGAAGAACAATCATGCATCTATTGCTTAATACTCGGAACTGCAGGCTCCATCCTGACAAATTCCCAATGTTGTACCCAAGACATGAGAGGCGGGCCATTAAATTGCTGCAGTAGCTATGAAGATTGAAATGGTTATTGCTTTAAAAGACCAGCTTAGGCAAACCAAAGAGATGTTATACAATCCGGTGGCATAGCAACAGGAAATTCCTGCCCTTTGATTCAATTACCTTGGTTTTGAAGACCAATTGTACTGTGACAGATGTCACATTGGATTCTTTAGCACCTCCCAGCACTGTCTGCCATTAACATACTCATTAAGTAGGGAGCTTTACTGATAAATAAAGCTCCACACAAAAATATAAATACACATATGCTATTGTAAAATAGTGAAATGAGAATTGTGTGGAGAATTAGGACGAGTAGCACAGCTAAGCCACTTTAATTCAGCCAAAGAAACAACACTGAAGAAAACCACATGTTCTCATGTACCAGGCCAATCAGATAAGTGCTCTGTCTTTCCTACCTAGTTAACAAGGCAGGATGGAAACATTTTCTTTTGTTCTTTTAAAAACTGAACCCCTCTGAGTGCATTCGGTGGCAATTAGTACTTAAAAGTCTGATGGAGGGAAATCAAGGCTTTTTTTTCTTGAAGTTGGCTCAAGCTCTGTTTATTTTAAAGCACTGGACTGGTTTTATGTGCATTCTGCCTGTACTGCAGAGATTCACTGATAGCATAATGATGCATGACTCCACCACAGCACTCAGGAATGTTGATATCAATACCTTCATAAATGCCATCTTTTTTTCCCCGAGAGATTTGAAGGTGGCAAATCAGTTAAATACTCCAACCAACCTGCAAGGCTGACACTTACGTTAACCGCTCTTGCTGAAGCGGTATACAGGGTGACCAAAAAGTCATGATATCTGCCCTATTATCTATTGCTGGAATCTAACCAGCTGAAACCACATAACTTGTCATTGATAGCACTGTCTGGGTATTGTGGATTACTGAGATGGTTGACTCGATTCTGACATTCTGTTGCCAAACATGTCACCTTGGAGCCATTTCAGCTCCAAAGAGGCCCCGCTTATCCCTTAATCCCCCACTTTACAAATCTATATGTTTAGTATCTCCTTCTAAACAAATTAATTGATGTTGCCTCTGGGCATTTGCATTCTATATTTCCACAACCCTATGTGTGAAGAAATGATCTCTGATCTAATTTCTGGTTCAGCACTAGTTTTAAGATTATGTCTCTGCTGTGATGTCCTGCTCATTTGTCAACACTGTAAAACCCATAGGTTTATGGAAGCCTCGTCTGCCGTTAGATAATGAAATTCCATTCTAATGTGTCTTCGGCTGGAATCCTGTCAGTTCGATACTGAAACATAACAGACATACTTCCGTTTTGATAAGGGGAAATCTATTAACTAAAGGGATGTGAATGATAAAAGGAATTTGCAGTTTCATTGTTGCTGCTAAAATCTAGGATTTTAATTGCACATAATCCATATTCTTCTAGGTAAATCTGGGCACTAATGGGGGGGAAGGGCAAATATGTATGTATCTTTGAGACAGCTTTGGTATTTGAGCACTGTTTATACTGTTCTTGAAACACCCCACTATAACATTAGTGGGGTCCAATGTCTCAGCAACCACGTTATAATTGAGGTGCAAAAAAAGGTTGCCTTTCGGGTATTCAGATTACTGATGACATCACTTCATTCGCTTAATAATAATCCTTGTATTTGGTATTACACCTTGTCGAAACCTCTCAAAGAGCTTCACAAGATTTTACTATTTTATAGACAATCGCAGCAGCCAATTTGTGCACCACAATGTCCCACAAACGGTCATCAAGTGAATGACCAATGTTACCTGGAAGATTGTTGGCCAGGATACTGAACAGGCAGACAGGACCAGGACTTCAGTTTAATATCTCATCTGAAGGACAAGGCGTGAATGGCTTTATATAAAGTTGTTGTGCACAATCTGCAATCAGGTGTTGGGATGTTTCCAGTATCGTGACAGCAAATGTATTTGTATTGAGAAGCCAACTGATAGCAGTGGATTGCTATGTCAGTCTCATTTCACACAAGTCCTCCTGTTTGAGAAACGTATTTCCTGTGTGAATCATGCTTTTTCATTTTGTTATTTTCAGGAATCCAAGAATATGTGGAAGCCGTTTCATTCCAGCATTTTATTAGGAGCAGATCTTTGATTAGCCTTGAAGAAATTAATAAGTGTTTAGTTTTTACTCCAAAGAAAGAGGAACAACCTGGGGACTCTGAGGTGAGAAGCGGCTCTCTTTTTAAAAACTATATTTAAAAAAAATCTAAATGACTGAGTAAAGTAGGTCAATGCTAACCATACACTGGTGGTGGTAGAGAGTTCTCTTGTTAGTGTACATCAGTTATTTGCAATAAGAAGCTTCAATAGCTATGGGATGTTCAGCCTAGCTCCACGTCCAACTTTATCTTCACGGAGGAGAGGCATTTATTAGGGATATCAACTCCGTTGAAGTTTGTGCAGTGCATCAATTTCTACTGTCCATTACAAAGGTTTTTTTTTGGTTAGCCGGGTGTCTGATGTAAGCAGAAGCCCATCACCATGCTTGAGTATGATTACTGATTTATTTTTAATTTATAAATTTATATGCCATTACACATGGAAATTTCCCTGTGTCTGAAGAGCAGAAAATGTTATTAGCGGAGACTTCACAACCTAGAAGTCAGCCATTTTAACCATTCTACTTATAAGTATGTAAATTTAACCTAATAAGTAAAGTGAAGACATTTTAGATTTTTGTAATATATTGGGTGTTAAGGTAAATAAGGTGATCTTGAATGGTTTGAATGCATGCCATCCATCAATCAACAACTTGTTGTTTTTAATGGATTAATCTCCTGCATCAAGGGTTTCAGAAACCTTGCTAAAACAGGTTGATGTTGAATATAATCCAGTTAAACTATAATCAGATTATGAAGGATTTCTATATTCTGTTACTTTTAGGTATTAAAATGATTAGTCATCCACACAATGCACTTCTTTATATACAGCAAATGACCTAGGCATCTCAAAATTTCAGCTGCTATATTATTTAAAGTTTGTAAATAACCTTTTCCAAGGTATTTAATGCCTTAAAAATCTTTTTAGCACCAGCTAATAAAGCTTTTTTCCCCATCTTTTAATCCTGTCTTTCATTTTCCATGCAGTGTTCAACTTTATCCAATTCAGAGGCCGAGAACCAAAACCAACAGGTGCTGTGTCTGCAGGTGACTCCCACAGACTACCTCTTAGGGATTGCTGATCTGACTGGTGAATTGATGAGGATGTGTATTAGTAGTGTAGGTAATGGAGACGTTGAAACCCCCTTTGAGGTGAGCCAGTTCCTCCGTGATGTCTACTATGGGTTTACTTACATTGGCAACACTGGACCATATGAAGTCTCCAAGAAACTTTACACGTTGAAACAAAGCCTGGCAAAAGTTGAAGATGCCTGCTACACACTAACTGTGAGGGGCTCTGAAATCCCTAAGCACATGCTCGCTGATGTGCTCAGCTCGAAAACGACCATGATCCAACCAGAGGAAGCCATGTAGAGGCTTTTGCTGAAAAGGATTGTTGTATCAAAAGAAAGTTTATTGGTGTATTTGATGGAATCAAATGACCCACCTACATAAGGCAGTCACTTGTTTTAATATTTCTGTAATTTCAGTCCTGTTAAGTTGTAGATCAGCAGAGTTCATTCCCTTTACGTGGTCCTGCATCTGCTCTACGCACCTTGGCTGTCATTACAGCACAGGGTTTGTAGGATTGTTATGGGTTGGCTGGGTGTCTGACACATGCAGAAACCCATCGCCGTGTGGTATTATTTTTGCCTTGAGACTATTTGTATTTTAAAACCAAATGATTTACTACTCAAACTACAAATAGAATCTTTTCTGTTTTTTTGCTGTGTAGATTCTGAACGTACATACCGACAAAAATGTAGCCCTGTTGCACACAAATACAGAAATTCTCAGTTACCGCATGACTTCACTGAATTTGTGACAGTCAACTTCCAAATTCTGATTCTAGCTACTGACTGAGCTATTTAAAATGCTGCAGTGCTTCTGTTCATTAGGCTTTTTGAGGCAGAGGGTGGGAAAAGGAATTATAAATAGAAGTTTCCATCTTACTATGGAAGTCAATATTCTCATTGGAAAAAGGGTCCATTGTTGTGTATCAAACCAATTGATTTATTTCAGACTTGAGTTTTTTAAAAACTGTACAGATTTGTTACATACAGTTTCCACATCATAATCTAATTACAATTTACCAGGATGATTAGTTATTTAGGGCTGTTTTATTGCTATGTATGCATTCTGAAGCATGTCTGATACACATTGAGCATCTTATAGGATGTGAAATTACAGGATATAAAATGGCTTTTCTGAGGTTTGTAAGCTTTTTGAGCTGAATCTACAACAATCTAGTTTGGATTGAATGTGGTTGGAGTTAAAGAACATGTTTGTTTATCCAAAAAATAAAATATGTACTGCTTAAAAGTTGCGTTTGTTAGTGATTTCACAGTTTCAACAATCAGCAAAGCCAATCTCGAGTCAGTATTGCAAGGTGCAAAGGAAACCGACAGATAAATGCATTACCAAAAAAATCAGAGGAAGGGATTGAACATCAGTATCATGGAGCACAGGACAACTGCAGTGGAGGAGGGGCACTGGACAGGTATTGGAAAGAATGAACCTGCCTCTTAATCACTTATACTACATTTCCCACCTCTGACCCGATCTCACCCCAAATGCTGCCAAAGGCCTTAATTCTTTGGTCACGTCCCATCTTATTTGAATCGCAATCCTTGCTGGTCTCCCCAATTCAACCATCCACAAGGTCCAGATCATCCACAACCATTGCCTATTATCTTTCTCTTACCAAACTCCATTGCTCAGTGGGCTTCACAATGATATACTTGAAGGTCATCACCTTCACATGCCTTAGCACTTCCCTACCTTCTTGTTGTCTGCTCCCTTGCCATTTTTCAAATCCACATGAGCTTAGTATAGTTTTTAACTCTGTTACCATCCCTATCCTTTCATATTCAGTCCATTATCCCTTCACTCTGGTGCAGCCATGAATACATCCTCCCACCTCTATGCTGTCTACTCCAGCCACATCCCCAACCCCCACTTCCCCCATGTCAGTCTTGGCATGAGTATTTACCATCCTTCACTACTCCTGCTCGCTCGTCCTCCTACTATCCTCCCCGCCTCCTTTCCCTCCTGGACCCATCCACAGCTTCCCTCTTCCAGCGTTGGAATCTGCTATTGGGCTCCTTGTGGCACATGCTGTTGGCTGCCCCGACTGCTCCATCCTCCATTTTCACTGCAAGCCCCATCGGTCCCAGCCCCTGGAAGTGAACTTCTCTCTCATTCCATTCCCACCCTTCCTACCAATCTTTCTCCCTCCCACTCCCCCCGCATCCTGCAAACTCTGCTGCCTGTACCTTCCGCATCGCCCTTCAAAATATCTGCTCTCTATCTAATAAAGCCTTCACTGTCCACAAACTTATTGTGGCCAAAAAAAGTCGACATCCTTGCTCTCACTGAAACCTGGATCACTCCAGGCCACGCCATCTGGCTATACCTTCCATCATGCTCCATGACCCAACCATTGTGGCCCTTATCTCCAGGTCCTCACTGGGTCTATCCTCTTACCCCTCTGGATCCTTCTCCTCATTTGAGCACCTCACTCTCTACCATCCCTCCAATCTCTCCTCAAAAATCCTTCGCATCTTTCATCCCCCTGAAACCTTCCACTTTCCTGTGACATCTCCACCCCACTGTCTTCCCTCTGTATCCAAATGCGTCATCATCTTGAGCGATTTTAACCTCCACTTCACCCCTTCTTGCTCCACATCTGTTGACTTCTCCCTCCTCTCTCACAATAACAAAATTATATTTGTATAGCACCTTTCCTCTCCCTCCACATCAACTCTGCCACTCACATCCATGGCCACCCAGGGCCTTACCGTCTCTGTAGTCATCATCACTGTCGAAGACATTTCAGAACACCATTTAATCTCTCTTAACTTCTCCATCCCCCTCCCTGCCACTCACCCTACAGGCATCTCTTATTGCCCCTGGAGAAAAATTCCCCTCCATGCCCTCTCCGCTGCCCTGGAGGCATCTGAACTCCTACCCCTCTGGCCCTCCTCCTGCAATAACCTACCCTCCTTGCTCACCTTTCTAAACAATTCCCTCTCAGCCATCCTCGACACGCTTGCCCCTGTCATCTCTTGCACCACCTCCTACTCGCACAAATCCCCCTGGTACACCAGCCACCTCCGCTCCCTCAAATCTCAGGTGTGCTCTGCCAAATGCATCTGGCACAAATCCAAATCCTGAGACCTACCGCTCTGCCCTCATCTCAACTAAGTCATCCTTTTATTCCAAAATCATCTTGGAGGCTAAGGACAACCCCAGAACCCTCTTTTCTACCATAAATCAACTCCTCTGTCCTCCCTCCCATGCCTCTGCCATTCTCTCCTCCAACACCAAATGCAAGAAGATGATGAATTTCCTCGAACCCAAAGTCGAGGGGATCTGCTCTGCCACCTCTAGCTCCTCTACTGGCACACCCAACCCCCGTACCAATCTCCCCTTCCAGCTCCCCATCCCGCCATCCACACCTTTGATCCTGTCTCCCTCTCTTCTCTCACCTCCATCATATCCCGTATGAAACCCACCACCTGGTCCCTTGACCCCATTTCTACCCCTCTCACCTCCCACTCCACCTCCTTACCCCCCTACAAACAGACCATGTTATCCTCTCCCTGTCCACCGGCACCGTACCCACCCCCCTAAAGACAGCCGTCATCACCCCTACCTTCAAAAAAAAAAACCTTCCCTTGACCCATCTGTGCTCTCCAACTATCACCCCATTTCAAACCTTCCTTTTCTATCAAAGATCATGGAACAAGTGGTCGCTTCTCAGCTTCGCTCTTTCCTCTTCCAGCATTCCCTCCAGGAACCCCTCCAATCTGGGTTTTCGTGCTGATCACAGCCCAGATTGGAAGGGTTCATGGCGGGAATGCTGGGAGAGGAAAGGGCGAATCAATGACACGTTCCATGACCTTTGATAGAAAAGGAAGGTTTGAAATGGGGCAGTAGTTGGAAAGCAGAGATGGGTCAAGGGAAGGTTTTCTGACTAGGGTCCACTGGCTCCTGATCACCGACCGGATCGACTTCAAGACACTCACACTTGTGTTTAAATCCATTCACTCTCTGACATCTCCCTACCTCTCCGACCTCCTCACCACCACCTGGCGCCTCCGCTCGACTGGCACCAGCCTCCTGCTCGTCGCTCGCACCCTCCACCCCACATTCAGAGTTTGCACTTTCAGCTACTATGCCCTGAAACTCTGGAACACTTTCCCCTCAATCCCCCGCCTTCTCTCTCCCCTTTTTCAAGTCTCCCCTGAAAACCTTCCACTTCAACCGTGCTTATGGCCATCTCCCCCCCCCCCCCCCGGCTCAGAGTCAGGCTCCACCACTGTTAAACACTCTGAGACACTAACCTGCGTGAAAGGCACTATATAAGTGCAAGTTGTTGTTGCTCACAGCACAGAGCCAGCCTTGGTCAAAGTGACAAATGATATTCTGTCCACCAGGGACCAGGGCAGTCTCCTCGTCCTTCTCAACCTCTCTGCTGCTTTCGATACTGTTGACCACTCATTCTTCTCCACCGCCTCTCCTCTCACCTCTACCTCACTGGTTCTGTTCTTGCCTGGTTCCAATCCCACCTTTCCCACCATCTGCACTTCATGGACACCAAAGGCTTCATTTCTAGCCCCTGCACGGTCACATGTAGCGTTCCTCAGGGCTCTATCCTTGGTCCCCTCCTCTACATGCTCCCGCTCCGTGATGTTAACTGCAGGCATGGGGTCAATTTCCACATGTATGTGGATGATACACAACTCTACCTCACCGCCGCCACCCTCGACTCCAGGACCATTGATGTCCTGGCTAATTGTCTGGCATCAAGAGCCAACTCCCTCCAGCTCAATGTTGGCAAGACAGAGGACTCCTGACCCGTTCCCTTCCCTCACCCTGACCATTTCCCCCTTGCTCGGGTCCTGACCCAACTGTACAGTGCCTCGGGACGTCCTCCCGACGTGAAAGGCGCTCAATAAATGGAATCTTGTTGTTGTTGTTCCGCCTTTCCACACCTCCGCAACATTGTCCACCTCCACCTCTCACCACAGGCCACCAAGACCCTGATCCACACTTTTATTACATCCTGGCTTGACTACACCAACTGCCTGTTCACTGGATTTCCCAACTCTTCCCTCCACAAGCTGCAGATTATTCAGAACTTTGCAGCTTGTGTCCTCTCCCGCACCAGGCTCCAGGAACCTATTACTCCCGTTCTTGCCTGGCCTCACCGGCTTCCCATTCCTCAGAGAAACAAGTACAAAACACTTGTTCTTACCTTCAATGCCTTCCACGGTCTTGCTCCCCCCCTACCTCTCCAACCTCATAACCCATATCAGCCTGTCCTCTCCCTCTGCTCGGCGGACACCAGGCTGCTTCAGGACTCCTGGACTTTCCATCCCACGATTGGCGGTTGGGCATTCAGCATCTCTGCTCCTACACTCTGGAACTCTATCCCGCAATCCCTCCACCTTACCCTCTCTCTTGCCTCCTTCAAGTCCCATCTGAAGACCTTCCTCTTTGACCGTGCCTTCGATCACCCTCCCAACACCCCTGTCCCCTTCTGACCCCAACTCCCAGCTCGGATCCAAAACCCGATTGTCCAGCGCCCTGGGACGTCTTTCCGACGTGAAGAGTGCTGTCTAAGTGTAAGTTGTGATTGCTGCCCACCTCTTTTGCTCGTATAACAATGGCCTGTTGCGTATGCCAAGACCCTTCCATCCCGTATAATTAAAAGGTGTACCTTCACCTTTTAATTGTGAGGAAGGTGAGAAAAGTTTAATTCTCACAAGTTTCACAATCCAATTCCCAATCTGAACAGAGGTATTTCTTACCTTCATGTTCCACAGAACACAGATGCCCCAAGATATTCGAATAGCAGTGGTTCATGAGCTCAGCAAGTGTACATTGTACCAATGCTGAGAGTGCCCCCTTGTGGCAGATCTTTGAAGCTAGTACTATTGAACTGCTGAAATTTATTTAGGAGCTATTTATTACAAATAAAAGATTTGTGCATTAGGGCATTGAATTGCAGTGCAGCAGAAATAGTTTCAACCACTCCAGTGTGTTTCTATTTCTACACTATCTTGTATTTTGAAATCCAAATATACTTACTGGTTCACAGAAGTGATAACATTAAAGATATTCAAAGATTTGGTTTGGACAGTATTGTTTTGAAAGTGAAAGGGTCAAGTACAGATAGAATACTGATACAATTTATTTTTGTTTACCTCAATCATGAGCATCAGATCTGAGGCACCATCTACGCTCTATTCAGTCACAAGATGATTTGGGCTTCTGACAGAATGTCACCTCCTTTATTAATGTAGCCACATGTACATTTTCAGAAATTCATAAGTACTCATTCACAAAGCACAAGAATTGACTAAAAACATTCTTTGATATTCTATACACATAATTAAATGTTTTTGCAGTATATATACAGCACAGGTCAATTGCACACCAGCTTCTGAAATAGAATCTCCCACATCGAGATGGGTACCAGTACTCTTCACTTCCATGTGGATAAAATTGCAGCCTCTTTCTGCACCGATAACATACAGAGAATAGTAATTAGGAAACGCAACAAATTCCAAAGAATTTAGTGAATTATCACATTCCCATCCCACAATAATGTTTCTGAGGAAGTGAACACAATATTTCTAAACAACAGAGTGATTAAGGGATATGGGGATAAAGCGGACAGATGGAGTTAGGATAGAAGATCAGCCATGATCTTATAGAACGGCGGGGCAGGCTTGAGGCTCCTAATTCCTATGTAATACAGCACTGCAAATTCTCACACTGAATCACCCATTTTCTGCACTGGAGCAAATTCCTCAAAGTAATGTGCCACTGAAATACTTGAGAAAACCTTAAATTGCAGATGTGTGCATTATAAATAGCAGCAGCAAATTTTCCCCCAGGGCGTGAGATAGAGCGAGAAGGGCTGGCACTAGGTGCCAGTCTAACTCTTGTTGGGAAAAGTTTCTGGTTAATATATTGTATTTTACATGTTGACCCGATAGCCACATTGTTCTCATATCTCCAATGTTCTCAGTTAGTCCCTGGAGTGTTCTGCTTAATTATGAGTATGACAATAAAACTCACGCAAGTCATATATCAGTCAGTACCAAAACATTTAATATGACTTATGCAAATTCCAAGTTGCAGGCAAACTGTACAAGTTGAGGCAAATCCAATTTAATCAATACACGTGGGTAATTCAATGTAGAGCCCTGGGGAGAATAATCAGCCTAGGCAATACATGCCACCTATGTATACACCTTGAAAAGTGGTGGGATAGGCTTGATGGGCCAAATAGCCTTTTCCTATGTTCCTAGTTTTTCCTTATGAACACTAGCTAGGTATGAACACATTGACAGGGAAGCACACAAACGGTAATAAGTGTTCATGGATCTGATTTGTTCACTTTTCAATACTAGTTCTAGTAGGTGGTCATTGCTCTTACCTTTGTTAACTCAGGAAAAAGTTCCTGAAGTACAATGTCCATCAGTACATAAGTCAGCTGAAATTAAAGCAAAAAAAGCAAATAAAAAATGATATATATATAATCAGCTAAATAAATTACCAACTTAGAAACACAGAAACATCTTAAAAACTGCTCAACTATCGTACTACACTGCTTGCCAAAAGCAACTTTAGTAAAACTGTTTTAGTAGTATTTACTGTAGTAGTACCACATTTACTGTTTTTGTGAAACAATGTTGATGTTATAGAACAAGCCTTAAGACTTTAATGGAAGTGTGGTGATAATTCCTGATGGTAGATAATACCCCAGGTATGAGCCTTAAAGATCCATCAACCATGTTATATTGTGAATTCAGGGAAACAGTCTACAAATGCCCTGCACGATGAATAATGAGGCAATAAATTAGTCAACAAATTAAAATGTCCTGCATGAAGGACTGAAAATCTTAAAGACTGTGACTTAAGGTTGTGCTTAAATCCAGTCTTAGTTTAGAAGCCAGTTTTCTGGAATTCCTAGTAATCAGCTTTGTGCAATTTTAAATTTTAAGTCAATGATCTTTTTAATTTAATTTTAATTTTAAATTGTCTTAAATTTTAAGACAATGGGTTAGCCTGTGAAGAACAATGTCCTCTAGTGTCCATAGAAATGCACAAGATAGAATATAGCAAATTGTTCCATCCACATGCAGGTACCTGTTTATTCAGCACTGGTTGCTGCAACCCTTCGAACAGCAGTCTGATCCCTTCATACTTAGCCTCTTCTCCAATGCATTTCACAATGAAATCTGCCAAGAAAATGAAACATTTGGTCACACTGTGGATGTGAAACACTGAAAACTCATTGCTACAAAGGGTTAAATATATTTAAAACCAGCAGATTCAGGCGTATCTAGAATCTCAGGTCAGGCACACATAAGCAGTCAACTTTTCTTCTGGATCTAGATAATTTAATCATGAAATATTCCCCTCTCTGGTTAGCACACACCAAGCTTAGACCAGGTCCACAAGAAGGGAGAGAAAGAACAACTGGAAGTAATGGTGAGCACGTCCTCCCAATCACCCTCCTGCAGTGATAGTCCCTCATCTCACCCTCCTTCTCCTCACCTCCCATGGAGTATATACGTGTTGGTTGGTTAAGTAGGACTCGAACCATGCAAGTGCAGTCCCACTAAAGTTGAATGAAGGAGGAGAGGCGGTGGAGGAGGATGGCGTGGTCGACTACATCGAACACAGCAGAGAGATCCAGGAGGACGAGGAGGCAGAGGGAATGTACATTCCTCACCTGGAATGTAGTTCATCATTTCATCAAAAGTTTGCTTTGCTCGATTCTGCTTGTCTCTAGTTGAGCGTGACTCGGTATTCTCACAGAAGACGGCGTCTAGAACAAAATACACAATATTTCAGGAGTAACCAGTTCCTTCCTGTCTGTGCTTGGTGATTGCTTTTGTCTAAGATATCTGTCCAGACGTATCAAACAAAGGTGATTACTTCATTCCTAAATCCATGACGAAAGTGAATTATCGAAAAACAAAAGCACCAAAGGACCTTTACAAAAAAGGATTTTGTTTTAAAAAAGCTATCACTATCAAACGATTTTAGCAAACTCCACTGAAGTTACTCACCTCTCAGCAGAGTAATAAGAGAAACCAGTCGATGTTCTTGGAGTAACTGATCCAGTTTATACTGAAGATACCAGTCTGAATAGGCTTCAAGTGTGTTTTTAAAGAGAATTCTTCCACCCATTAACAAGTGATGCAACCAGTCTGGTATGTGGAAAACAACACGGCCTAAAAAAAATCAAACCATTTCATTGCAACAAATCTACAAGATTAATAATGTGATTCCCTCCTGTACTTGCAACTTGTTTTTTTTGTAATAACCTTCAAATTATGTTATTCAAGAAGACCATCAACTCGTCATCAACTGAAACACTGACTGTCCAGCACCTTGGGATGTCCCCCGACGTGAAACAACCTATACAAATGTAATTTTGTTTTGTTGTTATACTAACTTATACCAGGAGAACTCATAATTTTATGACAAGGAGGTGAGAAAGCTACCAACTGAGCCAAGCTGACTCTTAATAATGACATCAATAACAACTTGCACTTATATAGCCCTCTCCACGCAGAGTAGCGTCTTAGAGCACTCAACAGTGATGGAGCCTTACTCAGAGCCAGGGGGAGGGGGGAGGTGACCGTAAGCACGGTTGAACAGGAACGTTTTCAGGCAGGAGTTGAAAAAGGGGAGGGGGCAAGGCGGAGGGATTGAAGAAGAATGTTCCAGAGTTTGGGGGCGTCGTGGCTGAAAGCACAACCTCTGATGATGGGGCGGAGGGTGCGAGGGATGAGGAGGCTGGTCCAGTCGAGCGGAGGCGCCAGGTGGTAGATTGGGGAGTGAGGAGGTCAGAGAGGTAGGGAGGTGCCAGGGAGTGAAGGGATTTGAACACGAGTGTGAGGATCTTGAAGTCAATCCATTTGGTGATGGGGAGCCAGTGGAGCCTGGCCACAACTGCTGAGATGGGTACGGAGTTTGGTCTGGGTCAGTATGCGGGCTGCCGAGTTTTGAATGAGCTGGATCTTGTGAATGGTGGAGATGGGGAGATTGGTGTTAGGCCGGTGTTAAGTTAAGCTTGATAACATTATTAGCAGCATGAGGCTTCTGACATTCTATCTGAAGATCTAAGATAACACGTCCCATTTGCCAGTGAACTTAAAACCTTTGTGTGGCTCAAGGTTCTGTAGTGCACACATTTTTGGTGTGAAGCATTAAAAAATACTTCGTGAATTTTTTTTTACTGATCTACAGCCATGAAGCTCCCATTTAAAAAAAATGAAAGGAAATCATCTAATCTACACCTTGAAACATCATCAATTTTAATAACACTACATTCCACTGTACAAATCTCTGAGGATTGTTGCATATCAGAAAATCTAATGTTTGAGCACTACAGAATTAAATCACAGTGGAGCCTGGCCAGAACTTACATAAAAAATGAAAAGTAAGTCATCCAACAGCTCAGTTTCGTAGATGGTTTTAAACTGTGTCTGTTTTTAACATTCTGTGAATTGAGATTCCCTTCCATACATAACATCCAAGAAACTTCTATTTGTAACTGCACTCCATGTACAAACAGTCCAAGTCTAGTCACGGCAATATCGCTGCCTGCAAAAGGCATCATTTCTTGAGTGTCCACAAGTGGATTAAATTATTTAACCTGATCTGAATACTCACTTACCTACATACATGAGGTAATCATAAACTCCATCCAAGGCCATCATTTCTATGAAGTAGTTCTGGTTATATTTCTTCTCTGTGCTATCAGAGCGATTGGCATTGTTTTTAAACAAATCATTAAAGAGCTGAAAAAATATGAACCATTAGCACTATCAAAAAACTGCAACTTTCCTTCAACAATGAAACATACAAGTTATTTCATATTAGTTCAGTGACACACTGGGTACTATGTAACTTCTACTGCTATCTGAAAACTGTGACAGGGATTTGACATCACTTACAGTAGGCAAGAGGACAGCTATTTTCTGCTCCCATTCACTTTCCTGAAGACCTAGATGCACAGTGCGCTGCTACCTTCACTGAACATTGGGAATATTAAGAAACCAGAAGTGTGACTCAGAGTCAAGAACATTTTTCGTGAATTGGGTGTACTATAAAACAATGGCACTTCCTGGTTTAATAATATAATAATAATCCTTGCATTTGATATAGTGCTTTTCACGTCTTTTAGACGTCTCAAAGCGCTTCACAGAATATGCTGTAAAGTGAATTGACTGTATATTTGTGGGCGAAACGCAGCAGCCAATTGAGCACAGCAGTGTCCCACAAACAGATGTGGATTGAAAATGACCAATTTATTATTGTTTTTGTTTTGGAGGGATTGCTATTAGGCTCTGTGTGGAGTAAGTAAACTTGCCCAAGGTTTTGCCCTCTGCCTGGAATTGAACTCAGGTGTCTCACTTGCAAAGCGAGTGCTCTAACCACTGAGCTACAGGACTCCACAAATCTCCAATACAATATTTTTAATGTTGTTTAAAGGGGTTGCATAAATAGGGCATAAATGACATGGCATAGTTCTTATAAACGCATGATACCCTTATAATGAATAGTGTATAGAATTTCAATTCCGCAAACTACTGAAACCTTAAACTATGAGAGAATTAGTGAAGGCAGGAGAATATAAGCAAGGAGAATGTATGCAAAGGCAACAGAATATAATTACAAATGTATTTATTGCACCTATATTGCAGGCTCATGTTTCATATTATTTCAAAAAAATACAACAACAACTTGCACGCATATAGCACCCTCCACTGAGGGCAGTGACTCAAAGCGCTTAACAGTGGTGGAGCCTGACTCCGAGCCGGAGAAGGGTGGGGGGGGCGCGGGCGCAGAGTGGCTGTAAGCATGGTCAAAGAGAAAGGTTTTCAGGCGGAACTTGAAAAAGGAGGGGGGGCAAGGTAGAGGGAGCGTGTTTCACAGTTTCAGGATGTAGTAGCTGAAAGCGCAACCTCTGATGGTGGGGCGGAAGGTGCAAGGGAAAAGCAGGAGGCTGGTGCCAGTCGAACGGAGTTGCTGGGTGGTGGATTGGGGAGTGAAAAGCGCTGTATCTGTGCTGTGGGTATGGTGAAAACCAGACTCTAGGGGCTCGAGGAGAGAGGTGTGACCGAAGTTGACCTACAACAATGCGTTCCAGGACTTTAGCAAGAAAGGGTAGGTTGGAAATGGGACAGTAGTGTAAGAGGTTAGAAGGATCGAGGAGGGGTGTGATAACAGTGGTTTTCAAGGGAAATGGAACAGAGCCTGAGGAGAGAGACTTGTTGACCGTGCCAGCCAGCAGGGGGGAGAGGAGGGGGAGTTGAGTAACCAGCAGCTTTGTGGGGAGGGGGTCAAGGCAGAAGATGGAGAACTTCATGCGGGTGATTGTGGTTGAGAGGGAGAGAGAAATGGGGACAAAGGAGTGTAAGGAGTGAGGAGGGCAGGAGCAGTGGCAGAGGGAGAAGGCAGTGTGAATGGTCTGGGTGGGGTAGAAGGGGACATGGGGGGTGGGGTGGGTGGGGAGGCTGATACAGCCAAGCTGATTTTTTCAATCTTTTAGGTGAAGAGGTCTAGGACCTCTTTGCACTTGATGTTTGATATGAGGATAGAGAGGGCTTGAGGGGATGCACGGTGGAGGTGATGGACGGTGGAAAACAGTGTCTTTGGATTATTGTTTGTCTCCAGGATGACTTTGGAGTAAAAGTCAGTTTGGGCCTGTGAAAAGGAGATTCGGTAGGTGCAGAGGTGCTCGAGCCACAGCTGGTGGTGATGAGGCCGGATTTCTGCCATCTGCACTCGAGCGTCCGGGTTTGTGTTTTGAGTGAGTGGAGATGACTGTTGTACCAGGGGGAGCGGGTGGGTTTGGAAAAAGCCCTGGATTTCAGGGAAGCCAGGGAATTGAAGGTTGTGGAGTACCACTAACTTTCTACTGTCGGTTGGTGCCTTTAAGAGTTTTGAAGCTAATATGACTGGGGCCACTGCCAGGAACTTGGGGGTAAGTGCAGGAATTCAAAATTATTTATTTAAAATTTGACTTACAGAGTTAAGAGAAGATGATTAGGGGGAAACCTTACTCCAAGTGACTGGTCTGGTCTCTCAAGTCCTGCATACAAGGCAGGCTGTCACGTCAATCGCAAACAATCACTCATATCCAAACTTCCATTTGGACCCATTGGCGTCGCAAAAAAGGCACACTTACCTCCTCCCCAAGATTGTTATTTATAATAGTGTTGCTGAAGCCACCATAAAAGTATGGGTCATATGAATAAAGCTAATTGGTACCATATTGTTTATTAAATATGGAAATTACAAGTTGAAGTACTTTATTGTCTGGTTGCCAAAAAAAAATACCTTTTTGTTGTTTTCTGATGTTGGGCTGAGGATGGTCAGTTCTGGCCTGCTGGGTTTAGGCTTGGGAGATTCACAGGAGTTAATAAACGACATGAGGAATGGCTCCAGGTGCTGGCCTTTCTAAACAATATCAACATGAACCACATTGCAAGTGTGACATGTAAGAATCAGTAAATGCTGCATGCTATAATTACAGCAGTTTAATTTTTTTTACAATATTAAGAGGTCAATAACTCTTCGAAATCTAGTTTGTTGCTTCCCTTTTCAGTAATAGTTTTTGCAAATTAATCTATTCAATATAAAATGAACAACTACTTGCATTTATTTAGCGCCCCTCATGTAGGGTAACATACCTCTTTTATCAGTTTTCCAGGGACAGACTTGATAATCTTACCTGTAACAAATACAATAGTATGTTCAAAACAAATCCAGGATTCCTCAGTATTCCATAAAACAAGTTTCATTTCTATTCCATTTTTAATTATCAGACTTTAAGTCAATCCAATAATAATTATTGCATGTTATAGCGCTTCATCACGTTGTCAAAGTGTCTTAAAGTGTTTCACAGGATTTATTATAATACGCAATGACGACGCAACAACAATAACAAAATTACATTTATAGAGCGCCTTTCATGTCGGGAGGATGTCCCAAGGCGCTGGAGAGTTAGGGGTCAGGACTCAAGCATGGGGGAGGGGTGGGGTAGGGGTGAGGAAAGGCAGAGAGGTGGGAGGGCGACCAAAGGCACGATCGAAGGAGGCTCTTGAGACCGGCCTTGAAGGAGGCAATGGAGGAAGCGAGGTGAAGGGACTGTGGGATGGAGTTCTAGAGTGTGGGGGCAGAGAGGATGAAAGCCCGGCCACCAATGGAAGGGCAGGTCAGGCGGGAGACATGGAGCAGGCCAGAGCCCACTGAACAGAGGGAGCGGGCAGGTTGATAGGCATACAGTCTATGTAGCTGAATGGAACAGATCTCATTAGAGCCAGACTTGCAATCCAAGTCTCGCACTGTTCACATTTCAAAAGGTGCAAGGCTCTTTTTTGTTTAAACACGTAATAATCCATGCATAATCCTTGCATTTGATATAGCACATCAAGAATGCCTCAAAGCACTTCACAAATTTTCTGCAAAGTATGGTAACTGCATTTGTAGGCTACGGAGAGCAATAAACAAAGGAATGTATAAGCAATTTTATCTGGAGTATTAGTTCTTGGCCAGGACACTGGAAGAAAGTCCCTTCTCTTTTTGAACAGTGCTATGGGATCTTTAAGGTCCACCTGAATAGGCAGAGGAGACCTCAGTTTAACATCTCATCCAAAGGACAATGCACTTTTTCCCCAGCACTGCTTTGAAGTTAGTCTAAACTATGATTTCAAAGTCCCATGTGTGCAGTTATGTGATACTTTGCATTAGTCTTTAGGCATACTCTCCTGAACCACAACAGATTGACTAAGATCAAATGTAGTATCTGTTCTGATCAGTTTGTTCTCGGGCTTGTGTAGGTGCTCACAGCTCGCTCTCCCTGTGAGGCTCAGATCAGGAATCGCCACTGCCTTATATGATTTCCTATTCATGGAGTAGGGTGGGCATTGCTGTACTCAGGAATACCTTGCCCTCAACCCTCTGTTGTCTGGAATTGGAATTGCAGGATCCACCGACTCACAGAGTTTGATTCACTCCCCAATGGAGCAATGAAGAATCTGAAATACAGACGGCCTTGATTCTTTGTCACGAGGCTCAGACTACCCAGTCAGAGAGGCTATGCAACTGACTGACTTGCTCATGAGATTGAGAATTGTGGTATTGGGCCCATGGTGTCCTAGGGGCCCAATTTTGGGAGATTAGGAGTTTGAGTTGACTGAGAAGGGGGTCAACTCCCTGCTTGCAGACTGGGATTTATTTTATAACAGCCTTGGGGACAAGAGTTGGGCAACCTCGCTCACCAAAAAAAATAAAGAGGGTGCAATCAAACAAGGCAGCATAACTACAAGCTCCTCAACTGCACCGCTACGCAAACTTTGCCACTGCAATGACAGCATAAATATGCTGCTCCCGAGATTAAACACCTATTTTAAATGTAACTCATTGTTCATCTTTGTATTTGGTCTCTCCTTTGTCTTCATATGGCCTGCCTTATAGATTCTGCTTTTGAACCTGAGTAGCATAGTGCACCAGGACTGTACTGTTATCCTTGGGACTGTTTCAACTCTGTAAACAACACCTTATATTTTGTTCAAAATGATAGGAGATATATAACCATCTTGCTTTTCTTTCTCATTCTGATTTTTTAAAAACGTTACTCCTAACAATATTCACAGCAGTAGAGTTAAAGCAGTAAACGTGTGTAACTCCACAAATAGCAGAGCAAGAATGCTCTCATACCACATTGTACTCACCAAGATTTACATCTGGCAAAATTTTGTCAAGAAACTGTGATTCAGAGCCATCAAGGGAAAGAAAGTCATCCAAAAGCTGGCTGTTGCTTAGTTCTGGGTGTTTCAACAGATTCTATTTAAGCACAAACAGTATAATTTCAACACAACACTTACAAGGAAATTGAACAGAATATAATAGAATACAGAATAAATGGAACAATGAGAAAATGCTTTACAGTGTGCCACTGAGCAAATCATTACCATAACATTGTATTTCTCCATAGGTTATTCTTATATTAATTAATCTAATGAATACATTCAAACAAAAAACTAAAGATAACATTTATCTAATATTAGAAGTGGGGTTACCCTGTTTTGGGGAACAAAAAAGCTCCTAAAGAGCCATGCATTCAAGAGAACATCTAAGTAAGATAGAGCATCCTAATTAATAAGTTTTGATAACCCCGCTTTCAAAAGCTGTGCCAATAACTTCCTAACTGATGACTCCCTCTGTAACTGGACTATTCTGGAAAGGAAATTCTACATGGATCTAGATTCACACTATTTTCTTAGCATTTCAGAGTATGCAGAATTTAGGAACATTTTGAATTCAGTCTTAATAATAAGTAATAATCCTTACATTTGATAATAATAATCCTTGCATTTGATATAGTGCTTTTCACGTCTTCTAGACGTCTCAAAGCGCTTCACAGAATATGCTGTAAGGTGAATTGACTGTATATTTGTGGGCGAACACGGCAGCCAATTGCACACAGCAGTGTCCCACAAACAGCTGTGGATTGAAAATGACCAATTTATTATTGTTTTTGTTTTTGGAGGGATTATTATTAGGCGTGTGGAGTAAGGAAACTTGCCCAAGGGTTCGCCCTCTGCCTGGAATTGAGCCCAGGTGTCTCGCTTGCAAGGCCAGTGCTCTAACCGCTGAGCTACAGGACTCCACGTTTGATATAGCAGAATGGCAAGACTTCTCAAAGAGCTTCACAGGATTTTACTGTAAAGTGTAGAGACTGTCTATTTGTAGGTGAACACAGTAGCCAATTTGTGCACACCAATGTCCCTCAAATAGCTATGAAGTGATTGGTCAATTTTTATTTTGTTGGCCAGGACACCAGGGAAACTCTCCTTTTTTTTTTGAATAGTGCTATGGGATCTTTAACGTCTACTTGAACAGACAGACTTGGTTTAACGTCTATCCGAAGGATGGCACCTCCAATAATACAGTACAACCCCAGGAATACACTGGATTGAACTCACAGTCTAGGCCGACAAAGTTCCAACATGGGGCTTGAACCCACAACTCTGACCCTGAGGCAAGAGTGCTACCAACTGAGTCAAACTGACACCCAACTTTAAAGTCAGTTTACTGCAGTTCTTAAAAAAAACTTATAAAAAGCCTCTTTCAAAATTAGGCCATATTGAAGAATTTGCAAAAATTCAGCAGGTTCTAGAATGCTAAGAAAATAGAGGAAATCTAGAACTTCTTTCCGCTTATGTACTTTTTAAAAAAATATAATTATTCCAGTCATTTTCTTTCAACAACATTATCCATGCAAATCATAGCAACATGTATCTACGTACAGGAGTTACTTCACAGTCATGTCTATATTCATGTATTGCCCGAACACATCTTCAACAATCATTAGCCAGAACTCGAAACAGTACGTCAAAAAGGGTAGATGGGGGAAGTTCCAAAGGCAATAATTTAGTTATTTGGGAGAGCAGGGCTAGTGTATAAACTCCTCAATTACTGCATATGTCTGTGGGTTTGACACCACCAACTCCTCAGTTGTATTCATATCTTGTGATCCTCGTAAAACATGGCATGTGAAAATCCATTTGAAGAAACATGGTACATTAAAACCACTTCAGGATGAATCCACAGATTAGACAATACCTGCAAGTACTCCTGAAACTCCACTCGCTTGGATTTCAAGAACTCATAGTTCTTAGGTCCTATAAGCCTCTTTGGAGGAAGCTGAGCATCTGGGAAAGATCCTAAAACATAAATCGGCCAAAATGTTAATGTACACTTTTCCATAAAGTTTAATAAATAAACTCAAGAGCAATGTTTGAGAACGTTAGTAATATTCATTACACTTTAGCATATACTCATTTGATAGTCATGAGCTTTTACATTTACATATCTGAACTAAAAACAAATGAACAAGGCCATTCAGTTCTTCAATTTCGCCCAGAAAATATACACTTTACAGTATATTCTGTGAAGCACTTTGAGAATTCTTGAAGGGGTGATAAGGATCTTTATCAAATGCAAGGATTATTATTATTATTTTTAGTTCAAAAAATGCCACCTCTGTATTGCAGACAAGTTGAATTACAGGAGCAACAATAACAAATTACACTTGTATAGTGCCCTTCATGTTGGAAAGACGTTCTAGGGCGCTGGACAATAAGCAGTAAGGTACCCAAGATAACAGATAATCCCAATCTTTTCATTTGGTCAGGGGGACGTCTCAAAGCACTTCACGGGATTTATTGTGAAGGGGAGTGACTGCATTTGTAGACGAATGCAGCAGCCCAATTGCGTACAGCAATATCTCACAAACAGCCATGAAACAAAATGAATAATTTTATTTTGGGGGTTAACTGAGATGTATGATTTGCAAGTAGGCTGCATGGTAGACAGATGAATGCTAGACCACCACGGACGCTACCAAAATAATTGAAGTTTTAACTTGTATTTGGAGACCTTAAGGATTGTATATGGAAACAAAACTGGAGGAGTAGATTTTAACTTTTATGTGAAAAGCTTCCATGTTAGCATTCCATGGTTGTAAATTCAAGCCTAATTGAAGAAAAGTGTATACAGCGGAAGTTGCTTAAGGCGGACATGTCAGGGCCGAATGTTTTGTCCGGCTTAAAGTCGCATCCTAGGTTAACCGAAATACACGCCCAGCAGAGGTGCCGTGATGGTGCCTCTTCCCTCCTATTAAACAGGAAGGGGACCATTTAGCAGCGGCTTCCAGGTGATTGACAGCCTGAAACCTCATGTGAATATTTGGGCTCCACCTATTTACATTCGGCTCAGCTGTCAATCTATCACATTTTGACTCCTCCTATTCTGTCCCTTGTTTCTTCCCCGTTCCTCTGCCCCTCGCTGATTGACAGCCCAGAGCTGCTTATGAATGGCTGGAGTCTGCTGTCAATCAACTGCAATTTGGCTCCTCCCATCTCCATCCTGGAGCCGCTCGTGGCACAGAGTGAGTTGATGCAGCGGTGACCAGCGAGGCATTTTATCCGGATTAACTGGATTTTGACGAATTAACTGTCATATTTAAAATAGCTGAGAATACAAATGAATCGGGACCTGGTGTTTTGTCCAATTAACCCGGCGTTTGGGGTTACCTGGTGTCCAGCTAAAGCAGCTTCCATTGCATTTAACAAAACATTAACCTATTGTTATTTAAATTTCACGAAGAGAGTTAAAATAATTGTGACTGGAGTTCGCTCAAAATGTACTAAACCAAAACTAAATTTTTTAAGCATATCTTTGATAGCACATTACCATGAAACTCCGTTAGCTTCGACTCCAGAACATAGAATTCAAGATATCTCCTGTAGGCAGACCAGTGTTCACTCTCATATCCCTCTGAAAAGCAAATGAAAATGATCTGAAGACAGATTCCAAAAAAGGCATATGCATTTAAAGGTTACAAGATTAGCAGATGGATTGCTAATATGGTGAAATAACTATAAAACCTGCTTTAAAGGTCTCTTCTGATCTAAGAAGATTGGTATTTGGCTTCAAATTCAGCAGACAAAAGCACTGAATAAGAAGTTGTTTGATGTTCAAGATGATTCAGTTTCATGTTTCAAATTGGCTTTACCTACTGAACCATCAGGGTAGCTGGTGCCAGGTGTTCAAATGGGCTTCCAATCTGTTTCACTCGTTCTGATAATAAATGTTAGTCCAATATTTCCCCCATTTAACAGCTTTGAAATAACCAGAGAAAGAACTATAACTAGAGAAAATAAGGACATTGTTAAAAATGGGCGAAATTTTTATATGTATTAACCCAGTGCTATCCAAGCCAAATTGACAAGTAGTTACAGGTATAGCCACTGAGAGACATAATTGGCCACTCTATAATAAAAAAGGACTCAGTGTAGATACAATACAGGACATCGTACACATATATAATATACCTGTATACGGTTTGGCACATATTTATTTCAACCAACTGAAATGTATCATATATCTGAAACTCAAATCACACCACAGCAAAGGACACAGGATATTACTTCACATGACACGATTGACTGGGCTACATGAACAGCGACAACTGGCAGAACTACGATCCCAGTGTTTGACTGCCAATACAAAAGGGAAACCGTTATGTCTCTGTAGCTGCTGATGTGATGCAAGCATAATATACAACAATAAAGCTACACTATAACATGTACAGAAAACGTGTGAGGGATCACATGACGCAAGTGATTTTGCAGTTTATATTCTATCTATAGATAATGAAATGCAAATTAATTCAACAATGTGTAAGTGTTCCTGTCCAATAAGCAAAATGGCCACATGTGGCTAGTGGTCATTGGGTTGGACGGCGCTGTGTTAACCCACAGTATTCCAGTTTCAACCCATCCTCACCCCCTCTCATAAAATAAACCATTTGGGGATGAACACCATGACACCCTTTCCTTGGCAATGGAAGGATGGGATAGAAGGTTGGTCTTTGTACTGGTCAATTCCAATGGAGACTAATCCAATTTTACAAAGCAAATCTTTTCCTCCTGTAACTATACAGCTTTTGAAAAGACAACTTTATTCATTGCTTTGGAGTCCTGTAGCTCAGTGGTTAGAGCACTCGCTTTGCAAGCGAGAGACCTGAGTTCAATTCCAGGCAGAGGGCGAAACCTTGGGCAAGTTTCCTTACTCCACACAGAGCCTAATAATAATCCCTCCAAAACCAAAAACAATAATAAAAAAAAATTGGTCATTTTCAATCTACGACTGTTTGTCGGACACTGCTGTGCGCAATTGGCTGCCGCGTTCGCCCACAAATATACAGTCAATTCACTTTACAGTATATTCTGTGAAGCGCTTTGAGATGTCTAGAAGACGTGATAAGGCGCTATATCAAATGCAAGGATTATTATTATTAATGAATGGGCTGCATCTCCAAATCATGGTATAATGAAGGATCTGGTCATTCAGAATATGCTTCTTGGAAGTGTTCCAACAATTAAACTCATCTTAAACCAGTTTCTCATGTTGTTAGACCATTGTCCGCACTACATAGTCTCACCCCACCCAGAAGATCAATAATATATCTGTATTACCTGATCTTCTGTCATTCCGTTCTACATCAATACAAAACACTGGAGTTTTTTCCCTTTTATTATCAAAAAAGAAGTCCACATATGGAATGCTTATCTTCCATGCAGAGAGGTTGCGGTGAGCATTGGGAGTTATGGCAGTTTCTTCAGGCAAATCATCCTCAACTACCATCAATGCTTCTTCAACCTGTAACAAAAGCCAACCTTTTAACATAATTGCTTACCAGCTCCTCACTGAGCTCTGTAATTATATTAAAATGACCATCACAATATGGGAGTATATAAGTTCCTATAAGCCCTATAAGCAATTTAACAAAAGGTATAAGTTGTTTTAACCAAAACACACATTATAGAGATGGATTTCTCCACACACCGGGATTGAATAACACTAGTATCATCAATAAGACTATTCAGCATTCCAAGATGTTATCCCATGTGAAGGGTGCTTTGCAAATGCAAGACTTTGTTGTATTCATTTTATTAAAATCAAAATGGAAACAATGGTAGTCCACACCAGCTATAAGCCTGGCAATGTGCATTAACATTTTAGAGTTAAAAAAATGTAAAAGTGAACATCAAACCAAACACTTATTTTTATTTGCAAGGGTTTAGATTGTTTTTTGCTTAAGTCTCTCAGTTACCACCTCCCTCTCTATTGTGTGAGTGAAGCTTCAAAACAAATAAATGGTAGAATTCTCTCCTTGAACAGAAAACATTATACTTCTAGCATTGTAATTGCAGGTCAACAACAACAATAGTTTGCGTTTACATAGCACACTTCATGTCAGGAGATTGTCTCAAACATTTTACATAACTGATTGGGAGTTCGCGTTAGGATCAGGGAGGGAGAAAGCTGAAGAGTGGAGAGAAAGCTGGTTGAAAACACAGTGAAAAAATAGGTGTCATGGCGAAGAGAAGGGGCAAGGCAAAGGAATTCTGATGTTTTAGAGAGCTGGGTCAGAGTACCCAGTTCAAGCAATGTAAACCCCACTTTATGATTGCAGAAATGAAAATAAGTTTTTAAAAAGCAGATCAAGCTCAATGGTTGCTGAGTTAGCAAACCTGGCTGATTTTCAACCAGTGAATAAAATGGATAAAATGTCATTAAGGTTCAATTCTATCATAGATACCAAAGTAGGTTTAAAAACAATTTAGTATTTTGAAACACTTCAGTGCTACAAATTACAACCCAGCTTGAACACAGTATTTCTACTCCTGACCAATAACTTCCTATTGCAACATATTATTTAACAACAAAAATAAATACGCTCTACAGTATGGCATTACTTACAAAATCATCATCTCCTTCTGATATTCCATAATTAGGTAACATAGCTCCCTCCATTGTTGTGCTTTTAAAAACGCCTTTAAGTTTGCTACCTATTCGTGATATTCCAAAAGACTCTCCACGTTTACTGGATCCTCTGAGTGACAGAAAAATCAGTTGGTGAAAAAACATTTTTCACAAAGCAAATGTGGAACATCTAGTACTGGACGATGAATTCTAGCTTTTAAGATGATGTGATGCAAATAATAGTTGCTTTGTTTTAAACTTGTAAGTCGACAATGGTTATGAATTTGCGAATACAGTAACAAACCAGTGCTACAAATTACAACCCAGCTTGAACACAGTATTTCTACTCCTGACCATTTTTTTAAAGAAAACAATGAATTAATACCAGAAATACATTTACAATTATTAATCCTTTTCTTTATAGAACAGTGAATCCAATGAAATGGAGGTGAGCGATGTACACAACAGTAATACAGCATTCAATGAAATCCATCAATACATTAATGATATTCAGTTTCAAAGCAATACTGTATCCATTCCATTTATCACAACAATTTAAGTGATTAAAACATATCCTTTATGGACATTAATACATGGCCACTGCCGTGACAATTTTAAATAAGACGTAATAATAAAAAAAAACTAAGTTTCCAGTGGTGTGAAAATTAGAAAAATAATTCGACACTTCTTTTAAGGAGAAAAATAAATCTTTGAATGTTAGAAGTAGGTGCTATAAAATGACATGTTCCACATTATCCGCAAGTCCATATTCTAGCTCAGCAAGAAACTCATCATCAATTACTGTACATTAGAACCTTGCAACACGGAAACGGACTATTCGGCCCAACTAATCTGTGCCAGTGTTTATGCTTCACATGAGCCTCCAACCTTCCTAATCCCGTTTTCTAAATCTTTCTATGATCTTTTCCTCCCGTATATGCAATTGTTTTTCGTCAACAAGGTATCTGACACACGCAGAAACCCATCACCATGCAAAAGAGTTACTAAACCAAACTGACAGTTCCATGCATCCCATCTATGCATAGAAATCCAGAGATATTTATTGGAATGCGCACATTCTCCCTGTAGGGACATATCCTGCTTACCTAATTTCGGAAAGTATTAGATGCAATTTGACAAGAGTCAAGGCCGAGCACCCTAGAGTGTGCGTTGGAGTACTGCTGGTGTTTAACCAGCTAAAACTGCACAGCTTGCCATTGAGAGGATTGTCCAGCAAGCTTTGCCACTCTTGTCCAGCAAGGACCATCAAACCCATTAGGGTTTTGGCTTCCAGGGTTAACAGGAGCAGAGTGGGAAGAGTCTCTGAACCTAGTGATTAGTCTGCCCTTCCAAGTCCCGCTGATGCGCCACTGTGCTGTCATCAGCAGTGCCCTGCAATACTGATGATCCACCTGGATCATGTACTGGATGATTGAGACCGTCAAAGAAAGTGGGCTTGATTCTGACATTCCATTGCCAATCATGTCACCTTGGATCTAGTTCAGCACCAAGGAGACCCCGTTTACCTCTTCCCCAAGGAAGATAGTCACTGAATGAACATTAAAGCATAAAATAAGCTTGGACTGCGATTATTTTTGTCTAGCATTCCCATCAGCTCAAATCTTTTCACGAACTAGTGGTTATTGCTGCTTTTATACTACTATTTGCCTTCAGATACAAGCCCACATCTGGAACCAAACTGTAATAGGAAAGCAATGTTTTTTCTTGAATCTGAGAGAATGCTTTCAGAGTCAGACCTGCCATTACAAATGCATAGAGGAGACTGGACTCTATAATGAAAAAGTGCAGGTGTCGCATCAATTAGACTTGGACCAAGTGCCGTTTCACACATGTACGACCATCTCAAGTCAGTACGCAACTAGCCAGATGATGTCAGGGTCTCTCATGCATTTGCAAAAACATTAGAGATTTAATTTCATGCGATCTTCATTGCCCATAATATTAACAGAACAAGAGGCAAAGCTGCCCAATTCAGGTCCTTCCCCTGGTCTCCTCTACTGTTATTTCAGTACTGGAGAGTGTAAAAATAATTCTATTACTTTTTCACAATACATCATCTTGGGCATCACAGTATCAAAGGAGAAAATGCTTGAGAGGGTTTCAATCGCCTTAGGCATAATTATATTTGTGATCAACCCAAATGGAAATCCCATTAAAACAAATATGGAATAATGTTGCTATGATTTCTGCTGTTATAATACTCGCACTTCGAATTAGGGGGAAAAACACAGAACTTTTAGATTTCAACCTCTTTCCTCATCCAAATAACTGTAAACTAGCCAATAACAATACATCATTTATAAATAAGTGAACACATAGAAACATACAAACATGAAGCTGTGAGCTTAAATGCATGAAGTACTTGAACAAACATTCATGCATCTTGTACGAAAGCATGTGGTCCCTGACTTACGTTATAGCAGCAGGGAGAGAAGATAAAATGCCAGATGGAAGTGTTAGAATTGACTGGACATGAGGGAAAACAGATGCAGATGAAGACTCTTGGTTCATGGAGGCAGCGTGCCCTAGAGATGCAGCCTCAGTGCCCAGTTTAATTTCCTTCTCAGGGCTACAAGTAGCCACAAATTGGTTGTTTTGTTTAAATATATACATATCCAATAGGCAGCATTAATTAGTAGAGAAACAAAAAAAACAGTTAAATGTTAGCTACGGGGCTTGCATTCATTAATGGGAGTGTTCCAAGGCCAGCCATTTGGTTTTGCATTATTTACTTACTGCCGAGGAGACAATTCATGCTACAATATGTTCTGCCTTTATAACAAACTGTTCCTATTGTGTTTCCAGCTTTTCCCGATAAGTTTACAATACGATAAAGTTGCCTTTTTGTTTCTTTTCTATCCAACTCAGCTTACAATTCACACGTCACTCTCAGCAATTATTTTTCGCAGCTAAGACCTGCCTTATTAAAATACTGTATGTTAATAAAAACATGAGTGAAAAATAAGGCTTTAAAATGTGTGAATGAGGAGCCAACTTCAAATAGCTACAAAAAAATTGGATTTGTAGTAATGTTATATCAGTACCTAACATTTCCTACATGACTTGGGTCTTAAACAAAACTATTTCAGTTACTCAAATATATCTACATTAGTCAAAGCTGAGCTGTAATACTGCCTCCTTCCTAACAACACATTGCATTTATATAGCATTACACACTCTTCACCAATTAATGAGAAGAGTTCCTGTTTTGTTAGGCTCAGCTTTTGGTCTGGGCCATCAGCTCAAAGTTTAAGAACTCAGAAAGGTAAACACTACAATAAAAGCCAATTATTAATCCTGCTATTCAAGCTTAAATTATTGTTCCATTTGAATTGCTAACTAATAAACAAACTCACTCAAGAAGTTATGTCATTTAAGTTATAAAAAAAGTAAAAATAGACTATGAGATTGAATGGTAGCAGTCTTATTTGTTTTATATTTTAGAAACAAAATATTTAACACTCCCTTTATAATAGTTCCAAATAGAGTATGCTGCACAACCTAAACTACAACAACAACTTGCATTTATATAGCACCCTTCATGCTTCACTGTTTTATTACATTGAGGACTATGAACTCACAAGTCATGAGAACACAACCTTCTGACCCAAAGGCAAGATTAGTACCAATAATCCATCCATACATAAATAGACAAGCCCTGCTCAATTACTTACATACGTAAAATATTACAAGCCATCAATAAAGTAAATAGAACAAATGTTTTATTACTTGGAATTTCAGAGCAATTATTACAATTGTCATTTAAAAGTAGCTCCTCTTTTCTGCAAGAGAAAAGGAACCAAAACACACCTAGAGAATTTTAATAAAAAATATACATATTTCTAAAAAGTATCCCAGACATCAAATTAAATCACTTCCGCTTGACATTACTGATTAAACCTAGAAGAGCCTATACTTCATAATCATAAAGCATCAAAACTGAACACAATAACACTCAGTTTATCATAAAGGCAGATATTGGTGCACTCCATAGAACTGCTCTGTAAAACTTTAGGTAATCCTGAGAGTGAGGATGATGTGATAAATTGGCAGCCAGGAGCAAAAGATGTTCTCAACATTCTGCTGTACTTACCGGAAATCATCCAAACTCAGGCTACTTCTGTAATAACAGGCACAAGGAGTTACACTTCGCACAGTACAAATACATACGTGGGGACAAGAAAACAGTAAACACACACACAGGTACGGGTGAATAAAACACATGTTAATTGAAAAATTTAATTAGCAAATCTTTTGTTACATTTTAGACCTATCAAGAGGATAATTTGTGAAATGTTAAATATAAGCTGTCTGTTGTCAAAGAGACTCTTAGGAAATTCTTAAGCACTTGAAGTGAATGAGTTGAATAAATTTAGAAACAAACCTAAATGACATTAACTTCTATATTTTTAATTTAAGATAGTCTTTGAATACTTTTAGTGTCCAGGCAAATGCATCTGCAACATCACACAAACACAATGAAATGAATTCTCAATTAATTTAAATGTCCCCACTTTTCTTTTAGACAACTAGCCTTGATTTCCCACTGAATCAACAAGGCAAATAAAACACTTAAAAACCCAAACCTATATGTAAATTGGGACAAGTGCTTTTATGGGCAAAAACTACACACTAATCTTTGTAAATCAGTAAATAGAAATTCTGAAGTTTTATTGTGGTTAATTTGTTTTGTTCTGGAATTCTCTGAAAATTTTATATTGTTTTTAATTGACTCTTAGATCAGTTTCACTTAGGTACTGAGATAGTATGAATTACCAGTTTGAATTACACACAACTAGACATACTCACACAGACTCCATTTCTACTTTGAACATGAATATTGTTCATTTCAAAACAGAGGGAGTTCGAAGATGTCATAAAACTGCTCAGAAGTTAATAAAAAAAATCTTTGCATTTGATATTACACCTTATCACATCATCAAACTGTTTCAAAACCCTTATCAGGATTTTACTGTGAAGTATAGTGATGGTCTATTTTAGGCGAACAAAAGAAAGTGAAAATGAAGACAATCAATTGTCACTTACAAGGGACCTCGGAGGAGATATGTTCACCATTAATCAATCTGGACTCACCTGTTGAGCTTGGAGTTGTGTGTAGGTGATTCTGCTCCTTTCAGCAGATATCTAAAATACTTCAAACAAATAATCAATTATAGAAAAATGAGCTTGTAAACAAACAAAAAATGTTAACCAAATAACTGTTTTATTACATTGTTAGTAGCATTAGAGGTCACTGTACTAACAAGATCCCTGACCAAAAGACTGATCTAACAAGTCCATTTCTGAATGAGTGGAAAAGATCGACTATTTCCATCCTTACAATAAAAGTATTTCTTTGTGAATCTGTCCAGCGACATATCTGCATCTATCATGTGAGGTGACTGGTAAACTGCAGTATTTTCTATTTAAAGATTATTAGATTCAATCTGGTTAAATAGAAATAAAAATAGAACTTTATCTTTATCCTGCTAAACAACAATTTTATTCTGGTCAACAAAACAAGCATTACAACCAGCTTTTTACAGGTTACAGTATTAATTTGCCTTAATCATATTAACCCATCAGCTCACTGTATATTTTTAAATTTCTTATTACTATGTAATAATGTAATTAAAATTGGTGAGATAGTTGCTGGAGTTTAGTTTTATACACTTCCTACACCTGGCTTCAGAACACGTTTTCACAAGGTTTTGGGATGAGATTGGGTTCCTGCCAGCTCAGCCATGGATGATGCATGGTGATCAACAACTTTTTATATTTATTTATATTCATTTATATTGCGTCCTTCACACAGGGTAGAGTCTCAGAGTGGTGACAGTGACTGAGCACGGCGCCGAGCCGGGCAGAGGTGACCTTGGACACGGTCGAGGATACAAAACAAAGGAAGTGGAGACAGAAAAACACATACCCAATTGGCTTTTCTAAAACACATACCCCATTAAACTTGCAGTATAAATGTTTAAACAAGCTGTATAAACATATCGTTATACTATTTTGAAGCAATTTAATTCAAGCCTTTTTACTGTAAGCATCAGTGTTGATGACCTAATACGACAAACACAGTAACTGTGCAGGTTCCATACCTCATCACTGTGACAAAACATGGGTGTAAATACGGCTTCAAGTAGAGACAGAACATGTTCATAAGCCTCAAACAAGCAGGGTGTGGTCTGAAGTTTTACCACATCTCTGTAATTTCCCTTTGCAACTGAAAGAATCAAAATAAAAGCTTATTAGTATACAACAACAACTTGGGATTTATACAGCGCCCTCCACGCCAGACAGCGTCTCAGAGCGCTTCACAGTAATGGATCCCGGGGCTGGGCCACGGGGAGGGGGAGGAAGGTGATCAAAGGCGCAGTCGAAAAGAAAGGTCTTCAGCCGAGACCTGAAAATAGGAAGAGAGGGGGCGAGGCGAAGGGAGTGAGGAAGGGAATTCCTGAGCCTCGGGGTGTAGTGGCTGAAGGTACGGACGCCGAAGGTAGAGTAGAGGATTCGGGGGACAAGAAGAATGCCATCCCCGGTGGAGCAAAGGCAACAGACACTGTTTTGAGGAGAGAGGAGGTCAGAGAGGTGGGGGGGGGGTGCAGAGGAGTGGAGGGTTTTGAAGACAAGGGTGAGGATCTTGAAGTTGATCCTCTCTGGGACAGGCAGCAAGTGCAGTCTGGCAAGGACTGGGGTAATCGGGGAGCGGGGTTTGGTGCGGGTAAGAATGCCGGCGGCAGAGTTTTGGATGACTTGGATTTTATGAATGGTAGTGGAGGAAGACCGACGAGGAGGGCATTTAAGTAGTCCAGCCGAGAGGTGACAAAGGCCTCTAGTATAAACATCTGCATCAAGGAAGTTGAATTAGAATTGCAGGCTTTAAATATATGAATACCATCACAACCTGCATTAAGAAATAAAACGCAAAATACTGAAGATGCTGAAAATCTGAAACAAAAACAGAAGTCATGGGAACACTCAGCAGGTCAGACTGATGTCCAGTAAAAGGGTCCCTCAGATTAGTTAAAATCTCTGATCATTGTGTTTTAAATCCAATGACAAAGCATCCAATTGACTCTGTTGTTAGGATTAACAATGCCTTACTTTATATGCTACCATTGCAGGAAAACTAACAATTTCAACTCTTATTTTGAAATTATTTTTAGAAATTTGGACTTCCAAGCACCTTTCAGAAACCGATCCACACTACTGGTGTGAAGCAAAGCTGAGCATGTAAACCAATGTTCTGCACAAGTTTAAATGGGAAAGTCGGACGTCCTCCCGACGTGAAAGGTGCTATACTAATGTAATCTTGTTGCTCTCGCTACAAACACACAACTCGCTCCACACTGAACTCACCAGATGTACACAAATGGAAATATGTAGATCAGCAGCCACATTTGATATTTTGGCAGCATTGAAGCCAAACTGGAGTACAATCAGAATATAAATCTATACGCATTTTAGCAATCAATATTTTGGAGTATTTTTCATAACTGGAGGGAACTCCAACCTGCTTCTCATCCCCTGCCCATTCTGGCCCTGCTGTTTGAAACTCCATTCCTGAGCCTCTCCTCCTTGCCTTAAAATTCATTTCTGTGACCTCACGTTTCCCCTCACTACTCAGCTCCTCTAGTTTCCCCTAGCTACTCAACTAGTTGCATGAAGTAGTTTTGAGTTGTGTTCCCGGTGTGAAAGATGCTATAAAATGTGAATTGTTGTTGGTGGTGTCAGATCATTTAATGCAAATGTCTGTAATTTGCAATAAAATATCTATGTGTGGATTAAAGAATAGAAAAAGCAGCGTAAAATAGCCTGCAATTTCCTTACTATTTATGGTTATTCATGCAAAGCAGAAATTGGACTTAAAACAAAGGGAGTAAGAGGTTCTTTAAAGCAGGAAAATGACAAATTTATGTACGTACAATCCCTAAGAAACAAAAATCAAAAAGGCAACTTTAAGCAACCAAGAAAAATGACATGACCTCTGGGGAGTAACCCGCGTATAAGGCAAATTCCCACAGTTAAAGAAAAACATGTGAGCTTTGTTATCAATCTTTATCACAAGTACTCTTAGTTCATCTTGTCCCATAATGTGAAAATCAGCAAGAGGCATTTATAGCACACTTCATCACTGATAATTGGTAACTTACTTTGTTGGATTTGTTCCACAATGAAAGGATCGAATTTGATTTTATCTATACTCTCATCGAGACAATATGTCTCATAGATTTTCTTCACTTCTGCATGAAGAGTCAGCATCTCTGATTCAGACAACTCTGGACACAAGATACGGTCATTGAATTCCTCTGTTGGAAGAAAAAATTGCAACTGTGTGACAGATGATATCATGAACTGTCAAAGGTGAAACACAGCCTGGTATTGAGCTTTTTAAAAATCTGTGTGCCAAAATCAACCGAGGGGCATATCTAATCTGTTCCCAGCAAATCTGAGATTTTGTGCAAGATGCATGGCAGTACAATCGGTGATCTGACATTACAGGTGAAGAAGGAAGTAATGGGTAATGAAAAGATGTTGGTTTTGTATTTCTGATATTGTGGATAGCAGTACAGCCAGTAAATGTTCTGCTACATTAAGCAGGATCTACACAGCTGAGGTAGCGGAATTAACTGAGATGTTTAGAAGGAAGATAGATAATGGGGAAATACAGGTACTTAGTGATGATGAAAGAGACAGGAAAATGGCATTATCTGATAAAACAACTGAAGAGGTTCAATGAGCTGCCTGTTCCTATAGAGTTGCAAACAAGACTAATACCAAAAACATAGAATTTTTAAAAAGTAGGGAACTAGCATATCCTTTCCCCATAAGCCCTCATCCTTACCTACAGTCAAACAGAACTGCAGCACATGCACTGCACCCTCCTGTTTCAGGAAGTTCATGAACCGGAAGAGAAGGTCCTGCTGATCTCTTATCTCCTTTAGCTCCAATTTAAGGACCTACATAAGAAGTCAGTGTTCAGTAATTTGTTAACGTCAATATTACTTTAGCATTTAAATCAATATTAATGAACGTGTTATGATACGATTATTAACTTCATCCAAACCTTAAACTTTTTTTGTGTCCTTGAAACACTATATATTTTCCCCAATTTATAAAACTAAGAGTTTGCGGCATGTAGAAGTGATTTTATTCTGTTATGGTCAATGGTTTAATTTTGTTATCATTTATCAGCACTTTTACATACTTTACGCACAGCAATATCCCACAAACAGCAATGCAGTGAGTGACCAATTTTAATTTTCGAGGGATTGTTGGTCAGAGTAGCAGGATAAACTCACCTTCTCTTTTCAAATAAGATTTTTAAAGTCTGCCTGGATAGGCAGACTGGACCTTGGTCTAATGTCTCATCCAAAGGGTGGCACTTCCAATAATGGAGCACACCCCCAGCATTGCATTGGAGTGTCTTATTAGATTATGCGAGTTTCAAGTCACAAGGTAGGGCTTGAACCCAGAATCTTCGCTCTCACAGGCAAGTGTGCTACCAACTGAGCCAGGCTGACACAAATTTGCCTGCATTCACTTAAATAAAATGCAAATTCAATAGTATATACGTAACCAACCAGATATTTAACAATGGAAACATTTTTCATTCTTACCGACTGTGTTTTATTTCTTGGATCAGCGTATTTTTGCAGGAATGGAACCAAAGGTGATGGGGGCTCTGTCGCTGGTTCAGGCTAATGACAGAAAATAGTTGTATTCTATTAATCTACACAAGAACTGCTGCTTCAATGCTTTTTGTTTGCCAATTTGCTTCATTAAACACCATTTGTTAGGTTCATGTACCTAACAGCCCTCTATTACCTGGCTCTAGAAGCCATCCTTCAGATGTGAGTGTTAGCAAACTATTCGACACTGGAAAGCATGATAACCAACCCCAATTGACATCACCCAACATCCCCACAATCACCTTTCCAGCAGAGTTCACTGGAAAGTGGTCTGGAAAGGACAGCATTTCAAGATCAGAAACACAGAGGCCCAATCGCTTCTATGCTGACATTCATGCGGCTTGGTGCTAACTATTTGGACGCAATAATCAACATTAGCAATTTACTAATACACATTCACAAAGGGATTTCCCATATAAACACACAATGAAAAGATCACAAGTGTTAGTGATCAGTGTGTCATAACATTGATAACCAGGTGGGTCCAAGTAGGATTCTTTTAAGACAACCATAAAAGACATTTCCATGTTCTGCTACTGGCCACCGTCAATCGTATTTAATTTCCCCCCAAATTTCAGATTCTTTATTTAGGAGGTGTTCCACTTTGAGAGGGCAAATAAAATGTGAAAGGCCAAATAAAAGATGTATCAGTGCAGATCCTGGAACATTAAAATATCAAACAAACTTAAAAGAATGGCAGGAATAGTAATAATGATATTTAGACTGAGAGATACATTTTTAATTTCTCAAAGAAATGTACTGACATTACAATTAACAATACTCACTGGGCTATCGTCAATGAAAATCAGCAACAAATGATTCACAAAGTCCTTCCAAAGGCAAGAAAACACAAGTCACTTAAATATTTGCAACAAAGATCATGATATAATACTGCAATTTAAAAAAAAGATTTCACTCATGTAGCAACTTCAGTAAACAGGCCTCAGATTTAACGTCACCAAAGCTGATAATAGTCCTTACTTTTAAGTAGCACTTAAGACAATAAATGCTGCATCACTCAGTTACTCGATATAAGCTTCTTGTATTGTAATTTCCCCACAGATAGATCACCAAAAAATTTCTGCTCATCTTGTGTACATTTTTGAAGCAAAACTGCCTTGTGTGAGAAACACTCTTGTAATCACTGACTTTTTTTTGTTTTACTTCTTTTCAGCACTTTCCTCTCTATTTTTGGCCTAATATGATAGTGGGAAGAGATTGTAATTATCCATTGGCTGCAGAAATCAAAATGAACTAAACTACTGCCTACTGTCAATATGGCACAACAATGGTCAACATGAGAAAACATAAAAGGCTCTTTTGTCCAACAAATTTACCTTTGTCTTAGATGCATCATTAAATATATCCTGTTTTTCTTCAGAAACCCATCTTGTTATCTCTTTAACCCTCATATACAATTTGCTTCAATTACCTTTGATGGTAACTTTTCCCACCTGTACCTTATCCTTTGTACCAAATACATTGATCTGAATTCCCTTTTAATCCTAATTTTCGAATTACAGTCATTAGGTCTTGAACACTTGGACTTGTCAATGTGAACATTTTTCCTGGATTAATTCTTGTTCAACTGGATAATAAATATTGAGGGCCAGCCAACCACTGGGCTATCTTACTTCTAACCTCATTAAATCCTCATTTTTTTTATTTACCATAGTGACCATGGTGCCATCCCAGCCCCATCTTCCAGAGTTGTTACATTAAGATGTAAAGTCATTCATAAAAATAGAAAGCATTCTTATTGAATTTAACTAATGGCCATACTAACTGACGTTCATTGCTTAAATCATAAAGATACTGTATTAATGTAACAATAATCCTTGCATTTGATATAGCACCTATAACATCGAGAACATCTCAAAGCACTTCAAAACTTTCTACGAAGGGTAGAGATTGTGTATTTGTAGATCTGTGTATGGTAGCACACAGCAAAGTCCTGTGAACAGCCATGAAATTAGATTTTTTTTTCTGGAGAATTATTGACCAGGACACCAGGCAAAACTCCTTTTTCTTTTTGAACATTAATGTCCATCTGAATGGACAAATGGAACCTTCGTTTAATGTCTCATCTGAAAAAAGACATCTCTGCCAATGCAATACTCCTAGCAATGCAATGTTAGTATAGACTACGAGTTCAAGATTAGCATGAAAGTCATCATTACAATTAACAGATGAATACAAATTTGGCCAGTCGCTTAGAGCCGGGTTTAGACCCTAAGCATTTACATTAATATTTTAATATGTGGTTATGTTTAAATTGAGTAGGATAATTAGGCATTTATATACATGAGAACAAAGCACTTACAGGATCAGCCAAAAAGTCTAAGGATGGAAGAAAAACCGATCCAGCCAGAATTTCTTGAATCAGCAGGGCTAGAGAACTAGGTAACAAACAGAGGAAAGTGATCACCTACAGGATATTCCCCATAAAATGAATATGCAACACAAACGAACAGGTCTGTATTATCATTCAATCAAAATGTATAAATAATCTTACATTCAACATTTCTGTAGTGTACCAAAATCTACACATAACCTGCCACCTGGGGAACTGTACCAGTAAGAGACAACACTTTTTATAAGAGGTGATGAAAAGCAGTTCTTCTGGCATATAACATGTTATATTTACCTGCATTCTGTGGCTTTTGGTGGAAGAATGTATGGAAACAGCAGCTCAGTTAATTTCCTCAGGTATTGTAGCTCATCCCTGCGACTCCTCAGAGCCAGATGCAGATCTGGCCCATACTCTTCAAGTGCAGTTTGCTGCAGGTATTCCTTATTTTTTACTGAAACAGGAATAAATGCACAGTATTAATCATACACATATACAATCCAAACTTCTAGTTATGAGATGACCGAGAACGGTATAACGGAGGATAGTCAAAAATCTGTATATTCAGTATATGCAACACAATACTTTTACTACTAGGAATCTCTCACTACTCATCAAAGCTTTAGATTGCAGGGTTCTTGTGTCTACACTTTGAAGTATCATTAATAAACAGCAGAATCGGTCAACCCCATCAAGAATATTTGGGCTTGGTATTCACTATGATTAGAGAAAGGCAAATAGTTGCTGCTCAACCTCTTTACTGGTGGAACCATTGCTCATTGGATAGGAACATGTGTGCCAACTGTGGCCAGGAGGATGTTGGCAATGCCCTCACTCATTTCATGAGAGCTGTGTTGCTCACTGGGAAGCCCACAGGGAACTCTTGGTATCTGCTATCCACTTAGTAAAAGCTCAACCAGTACTAAATTGATGTCAAATGACTAACTAATGACTATCTTCCTGCGGGGAAGATGGCTCCAAGGTGATGTGCTTGGCAACGGTATGTCAGAATCAAGTTAATCTTCCGTGGAGGTTTTAGTTCAGAAGTCAGGCGGGTTTGCAGTACCCCTTAGGCGCTATTCGTGACAAACAATCAAGAGTAGCTCATTAGAACTTGGGGGCAGATTGTTGGTCACTGGGGAAAGGGTTCTTCAAACTTGGCTCCTATTAACCTGAAAGCCAAAGCTCTTATGGGTAGAGTGGTCTTAGTTGGTCAAGCAGCTCTAAACTATCAAACAGTGTTCTTAATAGTAAGCTATGTGGTATTAGTTGTTTAAACTCTAGCATTACACCAACACATATGTTGTGGTCCTCAACGCTTTTGTCAACTTATGCCAAATACTCTTGACAATTAGGTAAGCAGGGTGCATTAATCCAGGGAGAGAGCACATATTCCATTCCAGACAGACAATTTCCATGTGTAGTTGGCATACATGGGTGTAACTCAGTCTGGTTTGGATATTCTTAAGTAGTGATGGATTTCAGCATTTCAGACACCCAGCTGACCAAAAATATAACCAATAATTCTTTGGATTTATTATAATACAATCTTCTCGACGTCTCAAAGCACTTCACAGAAGACTGTAAAGTGAATTAACCGTATTATTGTGGATCTACCTCGTTTTGTCAGACTGCATACAGTGATAGTGATAATCACAAAGTTATTACAGATATATACAACCACCTATATAGTTTTCATACAAAATAAGAATTTAAGATATGTTACTACCTTTTTGCCTTGCTTTTGATATTATTTCAATATGCTTCATAGCAGCTTTTAACAACTTCTGGTTTACCAGGATTGGAATATCAACCTTAAAAAACACCAAAACAAACATATTACATGGCTTAGGTATTAGATTCCAAGCTTCTCCCAATCAGAGCTTGAACAAAAAGTGAATTATATATTTTGTGAAAATACATATTAAGTTGTCAACATGATTTTCTCATCCTGAAAAAGGTTCAATTTACACATAATCAGCAGACTTTTTTTAAAAAAATCATTATATCAAAAAAAAAGAATTAAAGACATAAATACAGTTCAATGCTTTGATAATAGAAGGCATCTCGATTTCTATAGAATACTGGACCAGTGAATAAGGCTAATCATACTGGAATATTTTATCTGGTATCATATCAAATTTCAAAGCTATTTAAAATGCTACATTAACACCGTATTTCAGAGCTGCTAAAATCCAATCAGGAATTAAGCTTTCAAATTTGGTACTGCTCATTTGAGTGAAGCAGCACTATTAACACTGTTGAGCAGCTTCACTGTAGCGCTCTTGAGATGCAACCCTAAGTGAAGGGTACTATATAAATGCAAGTTGATGTTGTGTTGTACTGAAAAACTAGTAAAACGCTTCCTTTGCTCCCACTTTTCCTTCACTATTTCAAGCTTCAAACTGGATATCTGATCAGTGAAATCTTTTTCACTTTTGTTAAACAGGCACAGATTCATTAAGTAAAACAACTTGCATTTATACAGTATCCTTCACGCAGGATAGCATCTTGGAAATCTGCGCAGAGCTGGAGTTGGATGCCAAGCAAGAGGAATGGGGAGGGAGAGGTGACCGTAGATGCAATTGAAGAGGTAGGTCTTAAATTGGGCCTCACCCTGCTTTATCTACCTTAAAGATGATAAAGCGGGAGTGAGGCTGAGCGACTGAGACAGGGAGTTCTGGAAATTAAGGTAGAGGCAGTAGATAAGTGGAATTATTTATTGTCCTGTGATAAAATAAAGCAAAATAAACTTTTGTAAATATAATATCATGCAAGTGCAATTATTTGTTATTTTAGTGCAAAGATGACATTACTTGTAGATAATTTACAAACAAGCAAGGATTCAGGTACAGTTATTCATTTAGTTTGCTCTGCCATCTTTATACTTTGTACTCTGAGTGAAACTTAATATGGGTATCAACTACCCCAGTCAATTTGGATGAGTTCTGCATGTTTACTGAAATGTAAGGCATTCTGATTGGAGACAAATGTGTCACTGATATTATGCCTAAACAACAACAACAAGATTGCATTTATAGAGCGCCTTTCACGTCAGGAGGACGTCCCTAAAATTACAAGATTAAGAATAGATTTGTAATCCCAGATTACTAGGTTTCATTACCAAATTAAGAAATAAAATCCCACCTCTTTTTGTTCTTACCTTCTGAGCTCTACGGACTAAAATAGCTGCAAAAAAGCGCAATGTTGCCCTAAGTTCATCAATAAATGTTTCATCATCAGTCACTTCCCTGTAAAATCAGGAAAAATAGGTGCATAAATAAACTGGTTTGCATGAGATGCTTGGAATTATCCAATCTCAGACATTTGTGAATACAATAAGAGTCAGTTGGCTCAGTGGTAGCACCCTCTCCTCTGAATTAGAAGAACAACAACTTGCATTTATATAGCACCCTTCTCTCAGGGTAGCATCTTGGAATGCTTAACAGTGGCGGACCCTGGATTCAGGTTCCACATCAGGACTTGGAATCACATCGTCTAAGGTGACACTCCATTGCAATGCTGAGGTGTGTTGCATTGTCGAAGGTGCTGTCCATCAGATGAGACATTAAACCAAGGTCCCATCTGCTTATTCATGTGGATGTTAAATGATTGCTGGATGTTAACAAACCCAAATGTCAAAAGCAAAACACTTTTTTTTGGTCAGCCAGATGTCCCATCACCATGGTAAGGCAAAGGAAGAAAACCATGATAGGGATAATAATAATAATAATAATCCTTGCATTTGATATAGCGCTTTTCACGTCGGGAGGACGTCCCAAAGCGCTTCACAGAACACACTGTAAAGTGAATTGACTGTATATTTGTGGGCGAATGCGGCAGCCAATTGCGCACAGCAATGTCCCACAAACAGTCGTAGATTGAAAATGACCAATTTATTATTGTTTTTGGTTTTGGAGGGATTATTATTAGGCTCTGTGGAGTAAGGAAACTTGCCCAAGGTTTCGCCCTCTGCCTGGAATTGAACCCAGGTGTCTGGCTTGCAAAGCGAGTGCTCTAACCACTGAGCTACAGGACTCCACAATGGTCAACATGTACTACTAATACTTTAATAAGATAGAGAATTCTAATGCAATTTAAGTCCAAATCAATTTGTGAATCAGTATTTTTAAAATATAGAGCATTCCATTTATATTGCAAGTTATCATTTGAAATAAATGATATTGACCATGTCTTACCTGTACCAAGGATGAACAAAGTTTTCAATCACCAGTTCCAACATCTGCAGACATCAAAGTTTGACTGTTAGCAAAAACCTAAAACTGTATGCCTAATTGATTACACTCTTTGTTCATCAATTATCAAATGTTGTTTTTGTTGTTGATGTTGTTATGAAAGCTACTTTAAGAAAGCAGCACATTCAGCAATCACCAATTCTTGCCTTCCTCTGCCCAGTGTCTCCACACAGCATCACTGCAAAAACTGGACAATCAGAAGCAAGAATCAAATGAAACCCAACTATAAACTCAGAAACCTTGAGTTCACTTACTTCAGACAGAGATGCATCCACCTTTGAACTAATTTTCAAACCCAGCCAAGGCTGGTAATTTTCCAGAAGTAGTGTAGGTCTGACAAAAGATAACATTTAGAGATTAGACTAATGTAACTAATCCTCAGACGCCACTCCCCAGGCCTCCCTCCATTAATTGCAACCACATTGCAAAAATTTAGTCCAAACCCACAAAAGCTGTAAAATTGTATGTGTTGTATACCTTACCAAAGCATATGCAAACATTAGATTTGTTTCAAGGTCATGTTCAGAAGCTATGGATTCTGTGTTTCAATAGTCATGCTCTAAATTACCTTCTCAACTTAAGTATTTTGGTAAACTGAACTTACTTATGTCGTTGACATTTAACTTTCCCACAGACAGCACAGCTGTGACCTTGGGGAAATAGTTCCTGCTGTTTGAGCTGGAAAACAAAAATCAACATTGAAGCTCATTGAAAAACATACTTTTTTGGTGTATTACACTATGTTCACAATTCATGACTTTGCAGACATTCCTTAAATGTTAATAATCCTTGCATTTGATATAGCGCTTATCACGTCTTCTAGATGTCTCAAAGCGCTTCACAGAATAGACTGTAAAGTGAATTGACTAAATATTTGTGGGTGAAACAGCCAATAATAAATATATGATTGAAGCTAACATTTCTCACTCCAGAATTGCTTAAGTGTTTAATATTAAATAATTTCCCTAGTTTTAATAGAACTTTTTGTTTCGCTGCTGCCCTTGCACGGATCTCCAAATACACTTGTCCTCACCGAGGCAACTCAACGGATGTCACTGCAGGAGGAGCTTGGCAAGCCTAAGAGTGGAGCCCGGCACTTCAGGCCCAGCCAGAGAGCTGATCCAGACAGCCCAATCAAAGGACAGATCGGTGCCCAGTAAGCAAGCAGTAATATCAATTGCCAGTCCAGTTTCTAGTGTGCTCCATGTTGCTATGCATTACACTACTTGTAATCCCTATGATAACACTGGGGATTACAAGTGTCATGTCAATACTGTAAGGTGACCCAATTACTAGTAAGAAATGATATGGTAATTACACTGTGTGTTTTATTAACAGTAAAAAAGATTCAAATTTACCTTTGGTTTTCGTTCGATAGTGAAGAGAATATTGGGCAAAAGAGAATCCGGTCCAAGTGACCAATAGAAAGTGACAACTCCAGCCAGGAATGACCAGAATATCATGAGAATGTTCAGATACCTTTAAGCAAATCAAAAATTAAGAAGACATTGTTCACTTTTTCTCAGAACAATTAGCAAATTGAAAGTCTTACTCGATTAATGTAGTTATGCCCCTTTTGGTACCTACCCAGGCTTTATTCCCACACTGCATAACAATATCAGCCAGACTAATCATACCACCTCCCATCACCAGATACAGTGTCTTGCCATTGTTCTCTTTTGGCAAAGTTATTAAATCCAGCCCCCTTCCCCCATCAATAATTTCTGAAACAGTTATTAGTTTTGCTGGTAGGCATTTCACAGTGTTTTCCCTGATTTTGAGTTGGGCTAATTCAAGTACAGAGCATTTTCTTTCAATGTGTCAAATTGGAGCCAATCTTCAATTTGCACCCATAATTGGCTCAAACTTCTACACACGTACCACAGGACCCTTTCAGCTAATTATTATTAACTGCACTGAGTTAATATATATCACTATAACTGATGTTGTCTCAGCTGTTCCTAGGCAGTCATAATGAGATTGAAGATTACCTTCAATAGTAAGATGACTCAATTTGATGCACAACAGAACGTTTGTGTAAAAATAAAATACAATAGCCATGGAATATGTGGAGTCCTGTAACTCAGGGTTAGAGCACTCGCCTCGCAAGCGAGAGACTTGGGTTCAATTCCCAGCAGGGTGAGATGTTGGGCAAGTTTCCTTGCTCCACACATCTCTGTTTACCAAGCAACAAGTAGAAACCCGGTTGTCAGTCGATTGGCGATCGTTTTTCCGAGGGTAATACTTGCTTCAAAAAAAAAATAGTAAATTGGTCACTTCAATCCACGACTGTTTGTGAGATACTGCTGTGCACAATTGGCTGCCACGTTTCGCCCACAAAATATACAGTCAAATCACTTTACAATATATTCTGTGAAGCGCTTTGAGATTCCTCGAAGATATCAAATGCAAGGATGATCAGTATTATTAATATCCTCAAAGGAGTTACCAGGCTCAAAATTTGGATGGAAACATAAATTGTGTGGGCAAAGCCCCAACAGGTTATAACATGTATCTCAAGACATAAAATACTTATTGCCTTTAACACAGCTATAATCTTCATTTATATAATAATCCTTACATTTGTGTCTTTCCTGTTTGCAAGACACCTCAAATCGCTTCACAGAATATACTGTAGATCAACTGTTTTATAAGCAAAACTGGCAGCCAGTTTATACACACTATTTGCTCAAAAACAGTCATGAAATGATTTTTTTTAATGAGGAGGGGATTGTTGTCCAGGACATTCAGAGTAATACCCTTCTCTTTTCAAGTGGCACCATAGAATTTTTAACCTCCACTTCAACAGACAGGACTTCGGTTTAATCTCTCATTCAAAAGACAGCAACTCCAACATTGCTGCACACTCCAGAACTGCATTGGAGTTCTAGTCCAAGATGGCGATGGTCAGGAGGCTGGGTTCATGAGGCTCTTGCGGATCTTGAGGCGTCCAGACTCAAGCTGGAGCGTCGGGAGTCCTGGGGCTCGAGGTCAAGGTCTCCCGCAGCCGGGGAGCCTGGAGTGGAGTCAGAGGAGACCTACCCGGGATTGGGGCCCTAGATGCCAGGCTGGGACTTGGTGCCTCTCTGCTACCGCCCCATCTCTAACCTCCCATTCCTCTCCAAGGTCCTGGAACAAGTTGTCTCCTTTCTTTCTCTCTTTCTTCCTTTCTTTCTCGCCCTTCCTTCTTTGAACCCCTCCAATCCGACTTCCGTGCTGCCCACAGCCAGGAACAGCCCCGGTCAAAGTCACTAATGACATTCTGAACATCTGTGATCAGGGCTCCCTCTGCCTCCTTGTCTCCTCGACCTCTCTGCCGCCTTCGACACTGTCGACCACTCCATCCTCATACACCGCCTCTCCTCCTTACTTAATCTTCGCAGACCTGCTCTTGCCTGGTTCAATTCCTATCTCTCTCACCGACTCCACTTTGTTGCCTCTAATGGTTTCTCCTCCAGCACCTGCACTGTCACGTCTGGTGTCCCCCACGACTCTGTCCCTGGCCCTCTCCCCTTCAATATCTACATGCTCCTCCTTGGTGACATCATCCACAGACATGGGGTCAACTTCCATATGTATGTGGATGACACACAACTCTATCTTTCTGCCTCCAGCCTCAACTCCAGGACCACTGCTGTCCTGACAGAATGCCTGTCGGACATCAAGTCCTGGATGAGGGGAAATTTCCTACAGTTGAATGTGAACAAGACTGAGGCCCTCCTGATTGGCTCACGCCAGTGCTTCTGCACAGCAGGCTCTGCCAGCATCAATAATAATAATAATCCTTGCATTTGATATAGCGCTTTTCACGTCGGGAGGACATCCCAAAGCGCTCAACCTCCATGGTTGCACACTTCAACTCACCAAGCCAGTCAGGAACCGAGGTGTCTTGTTCGACCCTCAACTGTCTTTTCTTCCCCACATTCAAGCCATGACCCACTCTGCCTTACCTCATCTCTGTAATATCGCCTGAGTCCTCACCCCTCAGGCCACTGAAACTCTTGTTCATGCCTTCATCACCTCCAGGCTCAACTATGCAAACTCCCTGCTTGTCGGCCTTCCCAACTCCTCCCTCCACAGGCTGCAGATAATCCAGAACTAACTCTGCAGCCCGTGTCCTCTCCCGCACCAAACTTTGTGACCCCATCTCCCCCAACTCCATTGGCTCCCTATCCTTCAAAGGATCCAGTTCAAGATCATGGTCCTCACCTACAAAGCCCTCCATGGCCTCGCCCCACCCTACCTCTGCGACCTCCTAACCCCCTACCAACCCGCCCGCTCCCTCCGCTCAGCCGGCTCCGGCCTGCTCCACTCCCCCGACCCACCCGCCCCACTATTGGCGGGAGAGCCTTCAGCCACTCTGCCCCCAACCTCTGGAATTCCATCCCCAATCACTCCGCCTCACACCCTCCTTAGCCTTCCTCAAGTCCCACCTTAAGACCCTCCTCTTCAACCATGCCTTCATCCCCCCTTCCCCTCAGTCACCCCCCTCCCCCACCCTTCTCCCGCCAGCTCGGATCTGAAATGCTGTACATTGTCCAGTGTACAGTGGGACGTCCTCACGATGTGAACACACCATACAAATGTAATCATGGTGTGTTTACCTATTCAGAGCAGCAGCACATACATAGTGTGTTTACCTATTTAAGAGCAGCCCTTCCCCCCCCCCCCCACACGGTGTGTTTACCTACTTAAGAGCATCCCCCCTCCCCCACACGGTGTGTTTACCTGTTTAACAGCCCCCCCCCCCCCCACACGGTGTGTTTACCTGTTTAACAGCCCCCCCCCCCCCACACGGTGTGTTTACCTGTTTAACAGCCCCCCCCCCCCACACGGTGTGTTTACCTGTTTAACAGCCCCCCCCCACACGGTGTGTTTACCTGTTTAACAGCCCCCCACACGGTGTGTTTACCTGTTTAACAGCCCCCCCCCACACGGTGTGTTTACCTGTTTAACAGCCCCCCACACGGTGTGTTTACCTGTTTAACAGCCCCCCACACGGTGTGTTTACCTGTTTAACAGCCCCCCACACGGTGTGTTTACCTGTTTAACAGCCCCCCCCCCCACACGGTGTGTTTACCTGTTTAACAGCCCCCCACACGGTGTGTTTACCTGTTTAACAGCCCCCCCCCACACGGTGTGTTTACCTGTTTAACAGCCCCCCCCCCACACGGTGTGTTTACCTGTTTAACAGCCCCCCTCCCCCACACGGTGTGTTTACCTGTTTAACAGCCCCCCACACGGTGTGTTTACCTGTTTAACAGCAGGGTGGATGAGCTCAGCAGAAGGAGGATGAAGCAGAAGACCGGATACTGGCGGCCGATATCACGGACGAGGTGAAACCTGAGCCTCAGCCCGAGCTCCCGGAGGCCCCTCCGCAGATGCCGCATCATCTTCGGCCGCTCTCTGCTGTGTCTGGGTTCACAAGGCGGTCGCCGCCGCCATGGCTCGGTGCCGGGCCGCGCCCGCTCTCAACGCCCAACCGTCGCTCTCTCACGCGCGTTTCCCGTTTCCTCAGGCTCGTCAGCCCCACCCACCCCTTCGCTTCCAAATCGTCATTTCCGCTTCCTCGCCACTCCGCTCCTCCTTTACCAAGATGGCGCCCGCGCCTGACGACATCTTAGCTCCATGGCATCACGTGCCTCCCTCCTTGCATTGTCCCTTCTGGGCAGTATACACCCAAACGTCTTAAGTTTCAATCCAAGTGACTATCCTTCTTGGGGTAGATAAGAGGGTTCTCCTTGGAGCTGAACTGGTCCCGGGTTGACATGCCTGGCAATGGGATGTGGGAGTCCAGCCAACCCTCTGCGGCGGTCTCCAGTCCTGTCCCTGAGCCGGGTGGGTCCACGGTATTCCAGGCCACAGCTGAGGACAGCACAGCCAGTCCGGCTCATCGGCAGGTCCTGGAAGGGCAGATCAGTCACTGGGGGCAGAGAGTCTTTCCACTCAGCTCCTGTTAACCCTGTAAGTCAAAGCCCTAACGGGTAGGGTGGTCCTGACTGGATAAGTAGCAGGAAATCTTGCCGGAGGTTTCAATCTCCATCATAAATAAACCTTGCATTTGATATAGCACCTTAGCATGTCTTTGTGATGTCTCAAAGAACTTCACAGAATATACTGTAAAGTGAATTGACAGTATATTTTGTGGGTGAAACACGGCAGCCAATTGCGCACAGCAATGTCCCACGAATAGTTGTGGATTGAGTGACAACAACCGGGTTCCTACTTACGGATAGGTAAACAGAAGCGTATTGAATAAGGAAACTTGCCTTACATTTCGCCCTGCCAGGAATCGAACCCAGGTCGTCTTACTCATGAGATACTCTAGCCACTAAACTATAGGACTGATCTCTCCTGTCTTGTCATCTACCATGTCAGCTTCACTCAATGGTAGCACACTTACCTGTGAGTCAGAAGGTTGGGGTTCAAGCTCCATGTCAGGACTTGGAATCACAGTGTAAGATGCCGCTCCAATCCAGTGCTGGGTGTGTGTTGCATTGTTGAAGGTACTATCCTTCAGGTGAGACATTAAACCTAGTCTCCATCTTCCTGTTTAGGTGGATATTAAAGATCCTGTGGCAATGTTCAAAAGAAAACAGGAGTTTCTCCTGATGTCCTGGCCAACAATCTAAATAAAATTGGTTATGGGTGTTTGTGGGACATTGCTGTTTGCAAACTGGCCTACAAAATATAGTTAATCCACTTTATAGTATATCATGTGAAGAGCTTTGAGATATCTCGATAACATGAGAGCACTATATCAAATGCAAGGATTATTACAACAGTTATTACACTTTAGAGAAGAACAAATGCTTTGACATAAGGGTGTCCTACATGATATTCATTTTTTTAATATTAAGAGAGGAAAGATTCCAATAGATATCTCGAATAGAAGAGAAAGATCAGTTATCCCTTTTGCTTGTATCGTACCCAGGAGTGCAGAGATGATTGAAGGGTCTATTTAGATATGAAAGCAACATTCAATTTGACAAACTTGAGAATTAAAATTGAGAAGGAAAAACTAAGAGAAAACCAATCTTCTTGGAGGTTGCCTTAATGATGGAGACTTAGCCCTCCATCAGCGCTTAGCCATTGCTTGAAGATGGTTCGTGCTCAGAGCATGCAAAGCAACAATGAAAATAAATGAAATATGGTCGGAGGAAGTGATAATGAAGCCGGTACAAAGTGGAAGAGGAGCATTAGCAACTTTGCGATTGGTAGAAAATGAGAAGCAATGGTGAGATTGAAGTCACCAAGAATGATTCTAGTAGTGGTAGAGAAATTAGATTCTATTTACCAGAACATTGAAATGTCCCTAATTGTTTAGTTTGATGAGCCAGCAGATGTATATGGTGCGGTAATATTTTTAGTCACGAGAACTTAGTTAGCTGATCCAAGATAGCTTTCACAGGAAGCTGTTCAGAGGGAATGGGAGAGAAATGGATGGGAAATAGGCCAAAAAGGGGTGATTTATAATGTTGAACAATATGATCAAGACCGTACAGCATAGGTAAGAAAGCATGGATAATCAAGTCTATCTGTTGAAGACATGATCAGCTGTGATGTGACACCAACCCCCAACTGTCTAATAGCCCACTGACACTATCTGTGCTTACACATGGCTGTACGGGCAAGGTTTTACACAGAATTGGAAAGCATAGCTGTATTCATTCAGCTCAACCAGACCATGCCGACTTCAGTCTCCACCCACTCTTTACTCCCCTCATGAGTACCCTCATGAAGTTCTTCCAAAATACTCTTGGATCCCTTAATGGTTGGTCTGGTTACAGATTCCCCAACATGTGGGAACAGACTATTTATGCTAACTTTATTGAAGTTTTTTATAATTTTAAATACCTAGATTAGATCCCCTCTTAAAACATTTCTTCTCCAGCAAAGCCTAACCTATCCAGTCTATTCCGATGGCAATAACCTACCACCCCAGATCCTAACAAGAGTAAACCTATGCAGTACTCTTTCCATAACTGCTGTATCTGTCTTGCAGTGAGGAGATTCCGAAACTCTGTAACCCCATCATACCAGTCCTTCCAAGGATCCACTGACTCCTAATCACCAAACGGATCGATTTCAAGTTCCTCACTCATTTTCAAATCACTTCATTCCCCCGCAGCTCCCTAACTCTGACCTACTTACCCTACTCCACCACCCGCTGCCGCCACCTGGCTGGCTCTGGCCTCCTGTTTGTCCCCCGTGCCTTCCCGTTTGTCCCCCGTGCCTTCCTGTTTGTCCCCCGTGCCTTCCCGTTTGTCCCCCGTGCCTTCCCGTTTGTCCCCCGTGCCTTCCCGTTTGTCCCCCGTGCTCTCCATTCCACCATTGGCGGCCATGCCTTCAGCCACTGCACCCCAAACCTGTTCCCTCAATCCCTCCACCTTCCCCCTCCCTCCGCACCTTACAATCCTGCCTGAAGACCTTCCTCTTTGATCATGCTTAGTCATCTTGCCCCCTCCCTCTTCCCCTGGCTCGTTGTCAGACTCCACCACTGTAAAGAACTCCGGGACACTACCCCGCGTAAAGGGCACTATATAAATTCAAGTTGTTGAGATCAGAATTACATTACTGTATTCTTATTCTTGTCTAACCAAGGTTTTGTACAAATTCAACATTACTCCTCACCTTTACACTCTCACTGGATATACCCATTTTCCTTTTTTTTAAATATAGCCAGATCTACCTTCTAGGGTACTGAAGTTTGCCCAACATACATGGAAGTGTACCACAGAAAGATTCTGTACCTTTAGAAAGAGGAGAAAATTGACATTTTTAATTTCTGCTGATCCTATTCCTTCCTAGTTTTAATTTTCAGGTGAAGCTACATACAACTATTCTTACTTTTGTTTAAAACATTTTTTTCTTACCATTCCTTTTTTCTCCTAGCTCGCACGATCCAGATTGGTTCAAATTGAATTAGTCTTTTAAAAAAAAGGTAGAGGGCATATTTTTAGCTTAAAAATTAGCATTTTGATATTTTGATACCACATCTAGATGAGTAAAACAATTATGCTACACTAAAGGTTAATACATGCAGCCAGCTGAAATTATTTGGCATGTGGACTAAAACAATGACGTACATTTATATAGCACCCCTCACGCAGGGTAGTCCCAGAACATTTAAAATGGGGGAAAAAAGCTCACCTATAATAATCCTTGCATTTGATATTGCGCTTTTCATGTCTTCTAGATGTCTCAAAGCACTTCACAGAATGTACTGTAAAGTGAATTGACTGTATATTTGTGGGCGAAACGCAGCAGCCAATTGTGCACAGCAGTGTCCCACAAACAGTCATGGATTGAAAAATGACCAATTTATTATTGTTTTATTTTTTGGAGGGATTATTATTAGGCGTGTGGAGTAAGGAAACTTGCCCTATGTTCAGTTAATGAAACAGTATTACAATTAGTTGTAAGGGGGTGGGGGTAGAGGATGCCTTATTGTGATGGGCCCACCCTCTAAAACATGGCTCACTCACTTGGCAGGAGCCTACACAGGAAGATACCTGGGTGGGGTATTGAAAGGGCAATGTCATCAAATGGAACCATATTACAATATGAAAACAGGTTAAGGAAATGGGATAATACATGGATAATTGGTCAATTTTCTATTTGCACCAAATTGAAGTCAACAGAAACAAGGAATAGAAATGAAGTTGGTATACCAAAACTGTTAATTGTGAGTCCACAAATTTTACATAAATATTATTTGGTCAAAACTAAATTGATGCTTCAGTTCACAGTTGTAATTGTGGGTTTCCATTTTTAGCGCCTTGGGACGTCCTCCCGACATGAAAGGCTCTCTATAAATGTAATTTTGTCATCTTTGTACTGTGATCAGTTTTCTTCAATCACCAGTTTAAAATAGTTGTGTTAAAACAGTTAAAAATATCAAGCCAGCTTGCAAATATAAATTGATAAACTGATCCATTTAAACCTGGGGGGGGGGGGGTAAAAAAAAAATCAAACTGTTCAATGCATTTTTTCTGCTGTCATCTCAAAAGTATCTCTGCTTTGCTGAATTACTTTTAAAACAGAAATGTGAACACCAAACTGGTTTCAACAGATTACAAATCTTCATGTATCAGAATTGTGCCTTCTTGAGCAACTAAAAAGACATCTCAATTTGGAAAGACAAGGTTAAAAATCAAAATCTTTATTACAAAAATAAGTTACACTCACCTCCAGCTTACAGTATAAAACAAGGTTTATCTGCAGGAATGAAACAATGATGGTCAATGCCAATGAAATCTTGCTACATTTAGCAATAACGTCCTTAAAGGACAAGTAACATCTCCAGTTTCCATGGGTGGATGTAAGCAATGATTGATCAGGTAGTTTTAAACTGAAATCAGATTATACAGAAACCAAGCAACCTTTTCCTAGTTATATTGGTTTACATCCAGATTTTTACCCTTTCATCTGTCTGTGAGGCATGGGGCATACTTAAGCTACAATATCCCTTTCAATGGGCTATAGAGATTAAAGAGTTAAACTGCATTTTCACATATCTTAGCCTTCTGTTCCATAACTTTTACCTAGATTTCTGTTGAATTGATTTGGTCCCAACTCCATCTTACTTGGTCCTAATCCATTAAAAAAAAACTCTCCAGAAACCCCTAGAATCAGATATTCAAGGTAGGCAAGCTTAATTATTCTGCTAGGCAAGTTCTTATATACCCTCACAGCCTTTACAGGCAGACTTCAAATATACAATTGCAATAAACCTACAATATCCATGCTGTCCACTCATACTGGGATAAGAGTGTAACATGATTGTAGCAACTCCCTAATTTGGTTTTTGTAAATACCCTGGAGGTTTAAAGCAATCCCAAAATAGCAGAATAGCTGCAATGTATGGTTCTGGATAAAATAAGATAGAATGCCTGACCTTGCACGGACAAGTTAGGCTGATATCAAATGCAAGCTACTTTCATCAACCCTTCCAAATATTTGAACACCTCTTTATCTTTCAAATCCGCACTCTCAATACCTAGACAGAAATTTAGGTAATTTTGCATGACAAATGTTAATAGTATCAAATGCAAAAAAACAAACATTGCGCAATTCATGAAACAAGAAACATTTTATTTTTCTGAAGCTGATGTAGTCACCAGTTCAGAACAAACCCCATGAACTTGCCCCCTTCCCCACATTTCTAAGGCGCTTTATTCAACAAGCTAATCCTCTGACTTCAGTCATGGTGCACTCAATCCAATCCATCTGGTGTTTACTTAGCCATCTAATTAAATCCCATTCCACTGTCCATTATTTTTGGGTTAGATTATTGTAAATACAAACGCCAGGGGGGGGGATTTCACTGTTAAAAGTTTGGAGTTAAAGAATACTGAAGCATACTGCAGCAATTTCAATCTCACATAAGTTTAAACGCTTCACTATATAATAGCTAAAAGCAAATCTCCTGATGTTAGCCCAAAACTTTCTATCATTAAAAAATGTTGAACTTACACAGCAGTTTTCAACCCCAAACAATTGTAGTTTTGTAACATGTTACTAAAATTCAAGACGGTTTTATTTGCTTGCATTTGGTAGTTTTGTGGGGCTACAGTACCATTTTGGGAACCAGATAATCTCTAGGTAAAAGCATGTTGAACATTTCTGATCACTCATTTACAAAAGGAACTGGCACCAAGTCAGCAGGGAAACTTTTTAAGAACAAAGTAAACCCAAGTGTGCTTGTTACAGTTTACATCCAGTTCAAATGAACTGGATCAGAGAACGCAATTTATATTAACTTCATTAGAACACAAAGATATGTGCAATCTGTATAGACTATAAACTATATGAAACCATCAAAAGGGATACTGTATTTTATTTCAGAATAGATGATTTGCTGTCAAATTGCAATTTCCAACATCTCAGTACTTACAAAAGTAACATCTCCTTCAACTATCATACAACCTAAGGCTAACTATATTATCTGAAAAAGCATGACGGCAATTTCAGTTTTGGAGACAAAGGCAAGACTTGTTCCTGGTCACTTCTGGAAAAATAAAAATTAGGGTTAGAATATAAATTTACATACCCTAGTTTAGCCAGAGCTGATGTAAGTAATAATGAATGGGAAAAAAATCCAGATGAACAATAAAATACAACATGTTCTCTCTGTGTAAGTCTTGCTTTTGTCTACAATATTTTATTTACAGTACACACAGGGTAGTTTAATCCTCGGCGACTGAGGTAGTTAACCAACCCTTTTTGAAAGTCAGGTTCCGAAAAGAACCATTTTTTTCTGGAATGCTCGACTACCTGAAATTTTGGCGATTACACTCAAACCTGCAAGCACTTCTTTTCTGCAGGTGCAGAACTGCTGTGTGAGGTAGTGATTGGTGATGAAGAGATTTTGTAGTACAATCAGTTTGGCCATGTTTAAAATTAATATAGTGGCTTACAATGCCACATTAATAAAAGTAAGTCTGCATTGTACAAGTCTCCTGGCCATTATGAAATCCTAACAAAATTAAAAGATCACCCACCACTACCTCAGTACATTTAAAAACTGGTACATTGGCTATACAAAATTTAAAAACTGAAGTCTGTATGTTGAAATCTGAAGCAATCCTCATTCCCTTGGCTGTTCCTGGTCTCCATTTGGCGTCATGGTCTGGAATCTTACCATCATCTCCATTAGCAGTTTCCAGTGTAACCTCCACATAGCAAGTCAGTCGTCATCAAAACAGGTCAGGACCGGCCTCGACCTCGTTTTCCTGCTAGCCAGGCAACAAAAGGAAGCCATTAAAATGGGATCTAAAACTAGTTTAGTTTTAGAAAGAAAAACAATTAAGTAATGTTTTTAAAATGCCACTTTGAAAATGCAGCTTCTTATGTCTTCTTAAAGATTAATGCTTCAACATTTTTATAGCTCAAAGATTGAAGGAAAATGTAATCAATTGCATTGTTCAGAATGGTTAGGAGTGTACCATTTTAATCTTGCAATTACAGTAGATTCCAACTACAGTACAACACAGTACATGTGCTACGTTTCATAACCATCTCTTGAACCAAGATACATTACCATTCAAATAATATGAAGAAATGATATGTACAAGTACACATCAAGCAGAGGTTTGATTCCATCATTTTAATGGTTCAAAGTAAGTTTCAGCTAGTCACATGAAGTTTTATTGAAAATGTTAAGGTTTGGTTTGTCTAATTTCAAAATCTTACCACATTGTTTCATCGGAAATCCATTTGAGTTTCAGAACTTCATTCTGTCATGATTTAAGAATAATTCAAATATTGAAAGAAATGGTACACTCCTATTTTAAACGTAAATTCAAAGTTCCACAAACAGCCTACTTGTATTCTAGCATACATGTTGTTCACATTATGTAACTGACTGGGTTTAAAACGTATCGAGCAAATTGACTGTGCAATTCTTGGAAGCATTTTAAAATATCAAGTATAAATAATCCAAGGATGAGCAAATAGTATGTTCTTCTGAATATTTAAAAATGCATTTTTCAGTAGTTTCTTCACAAACATGAATGAATTCATTCTTACGAAGAAACATTAAATACACTGGGGCATGAAGATACCATTGCAATGAAGAACTTGCCAAATGTAGTTAATTTTAATCTTTTGCAACATAATTCATCGTTCAAGGCACTATTTGGTGCCATCTCCACCGCACCACCTAGACACAAGATCGATTATGAACTGCAGCAGGATTCAGGTTATATGATGCACCATCAGTGCAGCAAAAGAGTTAAACAAAAGTTACATCTGAACTCTTCATTCATATTTGTGCACCATTGACAATTATCTTACACTATTACTATAAAGACCTGAAATGCTGTATTGCTGACATTGCTTTTCAATACATCACTTGGGTTTCTTAAACTTAAAATTCTCAATATTTAATGCTGTATATAAACATGTAAGCACTCTATAATGGAAAATTAGCTAAATTGTACATTAATGCATTCCTAGTTTTACCCTCCATAATTCATCCATTGTACCAAGATTTTCCTATTACAAATTCTTTGCAGGAGAATTTAGATCTGCTTTTTGTAAGTTTTGAAAATAATCTGTCAAAAGGAAAATTTACGCAACAAAATGGAATTTGGTTAAATTCATGTGGTTTGACAGACTTTTGAAATTTTATTGAAATAGACATTAACAGTAGATAGAGAATACAAGAATGAACTCTTGACAAAGTGTCACTTCTGGAAAAGCCAAACCAAAGGAACTGGTAGTAATTTGAAATATCAGTCAACAACAAACAAACGTATTTAGGTAAACTTGCCTGCTCCTGGGAATGCAAGTTTGTAACATACAGTTTTCTTTAATTACTTCAAATACAATAAATTCAGGAAAAAGCAACAAGCTCATATTTTGTAAGTTATGCATTTAATTTTAAAAGCCACGGAAACAAAACTACCAGTAGTATACATACACTGAAGCCAAATATGAGACTATAATGTTTAGTAGTGAGCCAGATTTCCAAAAACAATCTTTTTTTTGGCAAAATCATGATGAATAATTGTGTCCAACTTCTGCTAAACTACATGGAATGCCTTTATTCAAACAGCCGAATTTCAAAAACAAAAAATAAAAAAAGCCTTCCCCACAAGCAAATGGGAATCATTCCAGGCTACGCAGTGAAGTCCAAGTGAATTTTTTTTGGTAAAAAATATATACATGTACGAATAGGGGATTCTTGCCAGGTGTCACCAATTAGCGAGCGGCAGCCAATCAGATTTAAGGCCAATCTGTATTTTGAAGTCTGTTCAGACAACCTATCAAGAGTCATATCTTACTGAACCCCTAATGGTCTACTTCCACTGTTGCCCATAAGTATCCTGATAAAACTCCTGGTTGTTTTCAGAGTTGTAACCATAGTTACCAGAATAATCACCACCTTGGAGCGGTTGCTGAGCAATAGGTTGGGAGCCCCAGTTCTGATTATTTGTCTGGCGGCGTTTCGAATCTGGCTGGTTGTACCCGTCAGCTTTTCGTTTGCCTCCTACATTTCCACCGCGGCCACCCCTGACACCACGTACCCCGCGGCCTCTTTGCTGCACCTGGGGTCCCCCTCTTGCACCACGAGATCCTCTCCCTGCCATTTGACCACGCTGTACGAATCCAGATCTGCCACGGGATGGAGGAGCTCCGCGACCTCTGGCAAGAGGGGCACCTCTTGAACCTCTGCCACTTCTTCCTCTAACAGGTGCCTGATAGTCATCATAGCCATAGTATGGATCTTCATAACCTCCACGGTAATCATGGTAATCATAGCCATAATAATCATAATAATCTTCATATCCATAATAATCTGGAGGATAACTGTAACCTCCTCTGGCTCCACGACTTCTGCCTCGTACTGGGGCTGGCATGCGGGGAGGAGGGTAGTAATAATACTCCTCGTACCTATGGAATTTAAAACAGTAAAGACATAAAGTTTGGGCTTGACAACACAATAGTCTTTTGACTGTTGAAATGCCTACCTGCATAATAAAATGAACATCAATTCTCGTCAATTCTTAAGAAAATACTATTAAAATGCCAAACCTAGATTCAATCCTTAATGCCCACTATTGTCCCAATATATATTGCAGATTGTAAAAAAAATGTGGTCAAAAGATCCTCAATAAGCAGAGATGCCTTAAACATAGTTCATGCTGCCAATTTGCGGGCGGGGGGGTGTTAGGGAGGAGAGAGAGCAAGAAGAGGGTCATAGTGCTCACATTTTTACTGAAGCCAAAGGATACACTGCAGACAAAATGAGTACTATCATTCCAATGGGTGAAGGGAGATGGTCAATAGTTGAAAAAATAGGGCAATTGTCTGAAATCGAGTTAGATTTAAATAGGAAGAATTCTCAATCTCACTGAGAGCATCGTTTTCCAACAGAGTGTCAGTAAATTGGCAGATTTCAACCGGAACACTTTTACACAATTTAAATTAATCAATTTCCACAATACTCACAGCTGAGATCTCGCAGCTTGTCTCTGAGCCTGGCGCTCCTTCTTCTTCTTGTCCGGTGGCTTAGCGAGAACAATTTCAATACATTCTCCTTCGAGAGGTTTCCCATTCATTTCACTCATGGCCTGCCACACACAAAGATACAGAATTGCCATGAGTTGCCTACTTACCATTTTAACGGGTAATTTTGAACCCTGTAGCTAAAAATATTGTAAAGCAGTTGTATTTTGGAGGGTTAGAAACTCTAAAAAAAGGTTTTAAACAAAATAACTAAATTCACCATTATCACACACACTTGATTGAATTTGTGCATGAATTAAACCAAGTGATTCTGAACCCTACGTTTCAGTAAGCAAGTTTCACGTTTACTACAAGTGCGTGACAGTTAGGTCTGAAACAATCAGTATTTTAGAAGTAGATGCAGTGGATTCAACAAATACTGCTGATTTTCATAATTCACAAGAATTTTGTGCACACAAAGTCACTCTGAATTAATTAACACTGCCTGTGAAATCCCACCAGTACAGCAATATTTTTTACCAGTTAAGATAGTTAAATTCTACCCGCCATCTATATTTAGTTGGGACTTTGATGGCCCACAACCTGTTGCTCTTCCTAGCTTAGTGAACCCAAGTGAACCTCTGTCAAATGTGTTCAGGTTATGTAAGATATAGATCTCAATGGTGGGGGGTGGAGACAGGGGAGACACCACAACTTGTCTAAGATGCTTTTTTTAAAAAGCTTTTGACACAGATAGAGCAATCACAGGCTATTTAACGGTATAGTGCACCCTAACCAACCCCAATCCTCGTCTCAGCAAATACCAAAACTACAAAATCTGCAGTACTCATTACATTGAAATTGCAAGTGGGACCCCTGATTCATTTCCCTCCTCCCAATCCCTGGGACAGTGAGGCCAAAAACTGATGTCCAAAATAAGATGAGCTTGCTCAGCAGAGATGGGAAATCAAACTTGCAGACTTCTGTTTTCTTTGGCCAGAAGCTACACGCGCTGGTGCAATTACCCATTAGGCCACATGGGGGTTGGAAAGACAGCATTTCACTAAGAGATGATCCCATTGGAGTAAAGCAATCAGTACAGGGAAACAAGAAACTTTCCACTAAAGAATTTGCATGCCTGGATTCTGAACCCAGAAATGAAGTATATAGTCCAGTGATTTCATAATTTAAACATAAAAGCAAATCCCCTCAGCCCACCTTAAAATCTGCAAAGAACTTTTCATCTCCTTCTTGTCTTAATATTAAACTCTATCCCACAATTCCATGTTGAATCAACAAATGTCCTATTTGATTGTGTGAAATAAGTCAACATCCATTGAACAACATTACATTTGTAAAGCGCCTTTCACATCGGGAGGATGTCCCAAGGCGCTGAACAGAGTTAAATTAGGTGACTGTGAAAATGTTTTTAAAAAATTTCATTCTCCCAATTTACCTAAGGAAACAACTGCTTTTGGTCATGGGAGTTTATGTAGATAATTAGGAAAAATGTGTTAAAATCATCAATGAATTCATCTGGCATTAAACAAATTAACAGGCAGTGACCTCAGAAAATAAATAGTCCATCATTTCATATCAGCCGAAAGATGGTGATGAATTTACATCACAGATCACAGCAGTGACAAATCTAGTACGTCAAGTCTTTATTCAATTCATGTTGTGTGTTTAATTCTATGCTTTTCTCAGCTTTGAAAAATAAAATCTTAAACGGTTTGTTGTCTTTACCTTTACTGCACCATCTCTTTCATCAAAGTGAATGAAAGCATAGTCCTTCAGCTTTTTCACTCGCTCTAGTTTGCCAAACTGACTAAAGGTCTTTTCTAGTATTTCTTCCGTGACAGAATTCCCCAGGTTACGAACAAACAGCACCTTTACCTGCAAGTCAGCAATAGTGTTTGAGTCAAAAGTGAAAAACATTACATTTAATACATCAAGTGTTAACTTCTTAAAAGATTCCACTATAAATAACCCTTTGAAGATTTAAGTCTAATAAGTAGCCAAAGCTTTTTACCGTGATTTATAGATTACAGAACTGAAGTAAATTCTTGTCACAAAGCATGTATGCCCTGGAAAATTTATGTTACAATAGTTCACATAAGCATTTAGTTAAACAATTGCAATACAACAGCAATATTGCAACATGTCAGGTTAGAATCTGCAAAAGTAACGCATATATGGCTATTTACCTTTGACATGACCTCTGGATCTGGATCCTCTATGGGGTCTGCCCATTCCACGGTTACAACATTGCCCCAGACCTTCACTTTCCCACTCATAAGCCTGCGCCTGGCCTGGGCAGCAGATTTATGATCCTCAAATTCCAGGAAACAGAATCCCCTATTCTTCTTCTTGTCATCGGGTTGATGATACAGTATCACATCTGTGAGTCCCTCTGCCAAAATAGAGTCACACAAATATTCTAAAAATCCAGTTCAAATGTTCTTCTCATTTGCTTCTCTGTACCTGGAATTTGTTCTCTTCAAATTCTATGCAGTTTATGATTAAGTGCCTTCTGTGTTTTCTTTAAAACTTTCTGCTACGATACTGTAGAAAGCTTTTCCAGTTAAAGAACACAATACTTTTACAACTCAGACAACAAGAATGAAGAAATACACAAGCCCTGCCAATGCATGTGTGTTTGAGAGGGGTAGAGAAGAGGAAGCAATGAAGCCACTGGCTTAAGTGCAAAGAAACAAACTGTGGGAAATAGAAATAAGTAAAAGGGTGAATAATGATCAATGGGTCATGAGGTAAATAAGAAGAAAAAGCAATCACAGCAATACTTCAAAGTTCTGCTTTGAATTTCTGCATTGAAACATTTTTCAGGAGAAACACCTTAAATATATTTTAAATGCAAGCATATATTGTTTCAATTATGGCTAAATGCACCAGCCACAAGGTACCGTATGGAGTCACAGGCCAGATACGCCAAATTCAATCCATGGTCTGTGCTGAGTTAGCTATTTTCAAATAGCGGTGATGGAAACACTGACTTCAGTAATCCTGGCCTAAGGGAAGGGTAGCATGAAATTTGGACTACTAACCAAGATACTGTTTGCAAAGTACATTATATATGTTATATATATTATATATATGAATATAATTTGGGATCACAAAGGCAATAATTACATGATAAAATGCACAGAAAACATGAGAAATCAAGCCAATTTTACAAAATGACATTGGGAGGTCACTATAAGAAGTGGTGATGTCTGGATAAAAGCTATTTCTTCCAAACCTATATAATAATAATGCACTACTTGCCAGTGATTGACAGGGAGCACACACTCCTTCCCAGCCTACACCTGCCAGAATTATTCCTGTGAAATTTCTAGATTCTAAAAAACACTTCACTAATAATTTTGTGAATTGGTAGGTACAAGTAAATTCTTGTACCTATATACAAGTAAATTCTTGTATATAATTCAAGAGTTTCTGGATTAGGATATTTTTAACTGTCAAAATGTAATTATTTTTAATTTAAAAAGTCCATATTTACATGTTCACTGACCTCCAGTTTTTCATAACTAAAATTAAACTGGAACATTCATCAAAAAAAACTTCATGTAATTCCAAAAGATTTTTTAAAAAAAAGTAGTTTCAGCAGGGAAATTATGGCTTTCAACTTTGTGAGAGCTACAAGTAATGTACAGGCTTTTAAGCAGATAAGATAATCAGATAAGATCATCCAATGAATACTTTACATCAATCCTAGTCTGAAGTTTAATTGCATCATAGTGCCTCAAAGTGTTGGTAACAAATAAGTGAAAGGGAGAAGAATGTGAAGAGTGTGTGAACTGGTTAAGGAAACAAAAAAAGCAAAACCAAACCAGGCAAAAAGCAGAAGCAGTTCTGTAGAATCAATGAAAGTAGATTTGTTACCGTTTAACTGGGAATCCCTAGAATTGATACAGAATAATTGTAATCCACTGTACAACAGTAAAATTACATTTGTATAACGCCTTTCACGTTGGGAGGATGTCCAAGGCGCTGGACAATCAGTGTTTCGGAGCTGGGGGTTGGCATTGGGTAGGGTGAAGGACAGGGGAGGAAGGAGGGTGACCGAAGACATGATTGAAGAGAGAGTCTTGAGACAGGTCTTGGAGGAGGCAAGGCGGAGGACTGTGGGGTGGAGTTCCAGAAGGTGAGGCGGGGGACGTAAAGCAGGTCGGAGCCCGCTAAGTGGAGGGAGCGAGCAGGATGTTAGGGGTTTAGGAGGTCGCAAGAGGTAGGAGGGAGCAAGTCCATGGAGGGCTTTGAAGTTGAGGACCAGAACCTTGAACTGTATTCTCTGTGTGATGGGAAGCCAGTGCAGTCTGGTGAGGATGAGGGTGAAGGTCACGGAGCCTGGTGCGGTCACTTTGACCAAAGCTGTTTCTGTGCTGTGGGTGGCACCGGAACCCGATTGGAAAGGTTTGTGAAGGTAGTGGCGGGAAAAGAACAAAGCAACGACTTGTACCAGCATCTTGGAAAGGAAGAGCAGTAATGGGTCCTGGGAGGGTTTTTTTTAAGGATAGGAGTGATGACAGCCATTCTTAGAGAGGCGGGAATGGTGCCAGTGGACAGGAAGAGGTAGGTTCACAATGTCTGTGTAGGGGGGCAAGGAGCTGGAGCTGGGAGGTAACGAGAGGGGTAGGAATGGGTTTGAGGGAGCAGGAGGTTGGTTTCATGTAGGTTATGGTTGTGATGAGAGAGGAGGGGGAGACAGGTTTGAAGGTGGAGGGAGGGAATGAGTGGGGGCCAGGGTGTGAGGGGGAGATGGGGAAGGAGGTAGTGGTTGGAAGGGCAGAGGCACCTGAGTGGATCCCTCAATCTGTAGACTGTGCAGACTACTAGACTGTAGTCTAGTATATGTAGTACACTGAAGTCCTCAACAATACGTGATTGAGTAAATTAGGAAGGGTTGTAGAAGTGATCTCAAACTATCAAATACTGAATAGCTTAAAACGCAATGGCTAAACTGACTTGGAATAGCCAACCAGATTAATCCAGTTGACGTGAAGTTGCATCTCTTCCATTTAAAAATAATCCATTACATTTGTGGCAACTACAAAACACCTTTGACATTGACTATTGCGAATAGAAGATAAACCAGATTGAAGGTGCTGTAATGTATATTAACTAGGCTGTGGGAATTTATAGGGAATTTATGCAACCTCACCTGTGACTTTAGCAAATTCTTCAAGAATCTGTTCCTTTGTCTTGCTTTTTGGAATGGATCCAACAAAAAGTCTGTTGTTTGCCACGGAAATACAAACACCAATGTGTTTACCAGGCCGAATCTCGTGGTTGTCACACTGACAAAATTGATAAGACAGATTTAGCTATACAAATTCCCATTCAAGAAATACATTGCACTGTGTGTGGAAAATATAGAACCTCACCAATTTGACTGCTTCCTGTGCAGCCTCTTTGCAGCAAAAGGTGACAAATGCATATCCTCTATTCAGACCAGTCAGAGGATCCATCATCAAACGCAAATCCCAAATTGGTCCAGCTTTTTCGAACAGTGGAATAAGTTCATCCTCAAACAAATCCCTTGGTATTTTACCTACAAAAATCTGTAACAAAATTACATTAGCTTTAAATAACCTTCAATAAGGAAAACGTTAAAATAATCCTTACATTTGGTAGAGTACCTTTCAAACAGGGAGGACATCCCGAAGTCTTCACAAGATTTACTGTATTGGCTATTTCTAGGCAAACATTCTAATTGGACGGGAAGGGGACCAATTAGTGGCAGCTGAGACGATTGCCCCCTATAGCTGCTTGTGAATGGATGGACTGCACCCATTCACAAGTGGCTCCAGCTGTCAAATCAATCACAGTTTCCCTCTCTCGTTCTTCCCCGTTCCTCCGCCCCTCACTGCTTAACAGCACAACTTAACCGCTTTGTGAATAGATGGAGTCGATCGCAATTTGACTCCTCCCATCTACATCCCGGAGTCCCTCCTGGCTGAACGCTGACACACAGAAGGCCCGATTGAGTACATTCAGCAGCGACCAGTGCGGTATTTTGTCCAGATTTTTGTCTGAATTAGCAGGCATATTTAAAACAGGTAAGAATACAAATGAATTGGGGCTGGGCATTTTGTTCAATTCACCCAACTTCCAGCAAAAGTGGATTCCACTATATTTTGAAAAGTAAATAACCCATGGATTTTTTTCTCCTTTCATTACAGTACACTTAAACTTCAGGTACCCACAGGCAAAACACATCAATCCCCATTGCTCACCTCAGTACCAACAGTTGGCTGAGGACCTGAATGTATAGCTTCTGGTGGGGGACCACCATATTTCCTCTGTCCAGTTGTAACATCAAGCGTATAACCTGTTCTTTCCAGAAGAGCCTATAATACGAACAGATTTTGCCATTTATCAAAAATGCACTATAAAAAGGTACAATCATAACACTGACACTGAATCTGGAATGGATCAGGAAAGTTCCAGATTCACTACGATGTGCTAGCTGATCTCAGCCAGGTTGGTGTAGGAAGGCCAACAATACGGCAAAATACACCTTTGGGAGGAGGAAAACTGTTATGGGAAAAAGCAGGGAGATCGAAAGCATAGCCTAAGAGAAGGGTCTTGAGATGGCTCTTGAAGGAAGCAAGGAAGGGGGTGAGGCGGAGGAACTGCGGGATGGAGTTCCAGAGGGTGGGGGCAGAATGGCAGAAGGCCCGCCCACCAATAGTGGGGCGAGCGAGGCAGAGGAAGCGAAGCAGGCTGGAGCATAATTTGGGAGTGAGCAGGATGGTAGGCGCTTAGGAGGTCGCAAAGGTAGGGGGAAAACAAGACCATGGAGAGCTTTGAAGTTGAAGACCAGGATCTTGAACTGTATCCTCTGTGTGATGGGAAGCCAGTGGAGTTGGGCGAAGATGGGGGCGATTGGGTCACGGAGCCTGATGTGGGAGGACACGGCTGCAGGGATCTGAATGATCTGAACTAGTAGAGGCACGATGGGCCAAATGGAACTCCTCTTTGCTGTACATTTTTATGATGCAGTATTCCAATTTATAAAAAGCCACCAAACCTCAGGTAGCATAGTGGTACGTTTATTAAGATGCCGAGAACAGCAATGAAATTGAAAGTTTATCTACATTAACATGAACATAAAGTACTATTCAGCAGTTCTATTATAAAAAACACCCAGTGAGTTTTCTCACTGAATTACGTTTCGGGCATTGTTTGTCCACCATCTTACTTACACTCGGTGAAGCAAAAATCAAGGATACTGTACCTTAATTTTTGTCTCATCTGGGCCTTTATTAGAATCTGACACTTTAGACCCTTGCTTTTCTCTTTGTCTGTATGTCTTCATTACTCCACATAGAAAGGCACTTTTATTCTGCATCAAAAAAGGATTACATTATGTAACTAAATTGGTCCATTTTCTGCTCTCTCCTAAACGCATTCTAAACACTGTTAAAACTATAATTGGGTTTGAGCTCATCTTAACTTTGGTTTTCAAATGTGACTGATAAGTTGAAAGATTCAAATAATGAGAAGTTTTATTTCATCGAATTCGGATAACAATATGGAGATACAAACAATGCATAAATACCACAACTCAGTATTAACAAGTAATCTCACTCAATAGTTCGATGTGTGATATAGGAAATTGAGGTAGCACAGTGTTTTGAAGTTGTGGAGGGGCTGAAAGCTCATTATAATCATGAGTACAATTGTAATCATATTGTAATCAACAATGCTACAGTTCTTTTCATTCCCCATACTCAATTCTCACAAATATACAATATTTGCCTGATGGAAAACAAACACGCTGAAAGATCCTTACCTGAACATGAGAGAGATCACTTTCCTTAAACTGCTGTAGTACTGATAGTGCACCATCTTCATTGAACTCTCGCAAGGCATCAATTGCTCTCTCATCTAAATCACTGTGAGCAACCAAACCTAAAGAAAATCCAAGGGATATATTTATTGAATACCAATTGAACAAGACAATATGAACCAGTAATACTGACTAAATTGAACCAGTAAGAAGTCCAATCTACCTGTTCAGATAGATTTTAATGGTAACATGCCACTATTTGAAAAAAAGGAGTTTATCCTGGTGCCTGGGAAGCCATGTTCTTGTGTTAGGATTCCAATTCATCTGGCAAAGTACCAAAAAACTGATGTCACATGGCATTAACTAATAACTGGATAAAGGGATGGAAGCCAAACTTCATTGAAAATGATGCCCAGCAGAAATGAGGTATTGAGTGATTGTTGTGCTGGGGTTCCTCCTGTTTCATGTATACATTAATGAACCCGATTCATAGACATGTTCATGATGGTTAAGCTTGCAGATGACACTGGTCTAAGGTGGAAACAACGATGGATTGTGGAATTAGACCAGACAGCCAAAATCTTACAGAGATCGTTAAGTGATACAACTTGGTAAGGGGGAAAGTTGAAACAGTGAAACAAACATGACAGATTGTTGAATTACATTGTCATAAAAGAGCTGTCCAGAGAACAGCATTAAAGGATTGAGCTATGAGCTACTACGAGAAAATCTGCAGCTCTTTAGTTTTAGTGTGGAAGCTGAAAGTGATGTCAGCATCAACCTGACAACCGGAACAGCAGACATTTTTAATCTACAGACTTCACTTACGATCTTTCATTCTCACACAAAATGTTATTACGATCGGGAAATCAAATTCCTTGCAGATCTTTATGCAGGTATTTAAATTGGTAGTTCCATTTATTTTGTTTATTTAGCTGAACTGTGGATACCATATTTTATAACTCTAATCCCAATTTTTACTGATCACTATAGAGCATAAATATAGTTACAGTTGCTATGACTAAAAATAGGGTTGGTGTCCTGAATGAGATCAAGTGAGCTGAAGGATCTTTACTTGAACCCCTTTTGTGAAATGTTGAGACACAAAGTCAGATCCCAAACAAAGAAACCAGATAAATATGTAAATATTAGCAGTACTCAAGCCTAGTTCAACACTTTCTGTACCCACCTGCTGTAACAAATCTACACGAAGACATGTTATGGAATTTAAATCCACTTTATATTGGGCCTCAATCCATAGGACACAATTTAGCGAATCTCAATCACACGCAAGAGTAAGAAAACTCAAAAGATCACCTGACCTCTGATAGTGTAAGACACTGGCTACAAAAATTATGAAACCTTTTGCACCCCAATTCCAACATCTGCTCATGATAACTACCATATGGTACAAATTGTCTTTAAATTGCAAATCAAAAAGCAGTTACGCTGCATTTTGGTAATCAACTCCACAACGCACAGAAAATCATAGCTGGTTCCTTGAAGAGGCATATAGTAAGTGGTGTTCCATTTTTCATTAGCAGGCTTTGGCTACTGCTCTCCAGCTGCCTTCTGCCAAAGTTTGACACTTATGGTTCAAATAATATATATTTTGCAAGAGTGGAATACTCATTAACATGGTGGTGTCCCAATGCTTTCCCCGAATGGAATAGTGGGTAGTCTATTTTCTTAGTGAGAAACTGAGCCACATAGATTTATGATCAAAGATTAAATCCAGTCTTTGCTGAGTTACTCATTCAGTCACTGATACAAATCCTGCAATTCGTCTATTAACTAGGGAACAAATCAACAAGGCCTCCCACTCTGAAATACTAGAGTAGAACCCAGTTCTAACATAACACAGGTTTGGTTATTATGCGAATGAGTTGTGGACCTCATCTAATGCATGTACATAGAACTTGCCAACTGCTGTTGCCTCTGAGCACGAAGCAACCTCAGCAGTGACCTGAATATTTAACTCAACTATTTTAGAGCAGGAGCCATTTCCAATGTGGTGTATGTAGAAACATTCGACGAGTCAGAAGTGTCGAGTCTTGAAATGTCCCTCTGATGTGAAAACGCCAATATGTAAATATTACATTGTTTCTGGAAGGGAAATATTGCTTATGTGGACGGACACTTCTCAAATCCGGCATCCGGCCCTCAGAAGCCAAAACATTGGACCACCCTGATGTAGATAGCTTTGTGTCTCAGCTTCAGTGCTCCAAAAAATAAAAACTTACTAGTATTGTCTAGGCTCAAACACAAAGAATGGCCACTCAAGTGAGGTATTGGAGGGGTGCCAGTACTTGGAAAACAGTACCCAGTATGATTTACCAGATTCAGGAGAGGATACTAATTGAAAAATAATCTGCTACACTCAATTATTTCTAGGATCAATTTAAGGACTCATTTTTCCCATGGCATGCCAATAATTCCCAGAAAAAACTTGCTACTAAACATGTCAGTTATTCTATAACCAGCTGCTAGAATGGGTGTCCATTAATCTTTGCAACAATGTACCTATTGTAATAATAATCCTTGCATTTGATATAGCACTTTTCAAGACTTCGAAGTCTCGAAAGCGCTTCACAGAATATACTGTAAAGTGAATTGACCAATTATTGTAATGCAATATTTCAGAATAAAATTAATTTTGTGTCAAATAGAATTGGAAAGTTTTAATATAGAAATGCTTCATGTGGAGGGAAGAGGATAGCCCTTTCAAAATATATGCCCAATATAGTATTTTGTTCAGATGGTGAGTGGTTGCGATTTTTGCCCTCTCGTTTTACATATTTGGGAGTGGCACATTTTTACATCAAGAGAAACAATTATTTTCTCCTAGATCCTCAGAAAAGATACCACACCCAGAAAAAATATACAAAGTACTTTTCAGTGACAGAATAAATATTTGTCCAGCGGATGAAATATTAAACCAAGGCCTGTTCTGGTGGATGTTAAAGATCCCACAACACTATTCAAAAAAAGGTTGCTCGCAGTGTCCTAGCCAACAATCCCCTAAATATAATCGGTCATTCATTCCCTTCATGCACGGCCTTTTATGGTACACTGAGGATATTGTGTTTGCCTGCAAAATACAGGCACTACACATTACAATAACTTCTGCGAAGTGATTTCAGATGTCCTCCGGACGAGAAAGGACCTATATCAAACGCAAGAATTATTACTACTATAAATATGGTCAAATTACAGAATATCAGTATTGCTGCACAATATAAGCATATACTTTCTATATTATAAAGAGGATGCTTTGAACATGACAGTCCTATCTCTAGGTAGTGGAGGGAAGGTGAAGCACGTAAAGAAATACGCCTGTCTGATAAAAAGAACTGTGATGTAATATTCTCCCAAGACATCAATGGATCAAACCAAGTCTATACCCATTTAAGTAGCGTATATGCTTAAAGACACTGAATATAGAAAGCATAAGAAACACACATTCAGAAGCAAAAACTCAACCCTTAAAACTATTAGCTCAGGTGCATTGTAATCTCCCAATCCAAAATCTTATAAAAAATGTCTACTCATCACACACTGGAACATATTGTATAACCTATATAGTGGAGGACTCGTATAACTCCTTAAATTGGGGCCTATAAAATCCCAACCTGTGCTATGTTATGGTGTGACTGTCAGTCAGCACCGCTATATTCACTGCAATGCATGCAGGAAGAGATGTCTCGAGTGACTGGATGACTTGGGAGGCAGCCATTCTTGGTGCAGTTGTTAAAATGGCCCACTTCCACTGCATTAGGTGGTTCTTGATATCACATTCTGTGCATTGATTGAGCCAGTACACAAATTTCGAACTTTTGGGGTTACTTGGAATCCACAGCTCAAATGAACCTGCTTTATACTGGTGTTCTCCAATGAAAAATTTGACTACTACAATTTACCATTTCTACCATTTTCCCCTTCACCAATTTTCTCCCGTTCTGAAGACATTTTGACCTTCTTCTATTGAGGAACCTTTCACACGTGCCTTTCAATATCGCATTATTTATGCATAGCTTCAGGAGTGAGTACTGACGGGCTATCCCATGAAAGAGAGGAAGGAGTGCAACAGAACCAAATTCTGAACATAGACAATGTCCAGAAATGCATACACACAAATGAACCCTGGCTAATTTTCTCCTCACATTCCATCTTTTGAACTGTGTCACAATATTCGTATGTGGGATGAGGAACGACTGGAGGGGAAACAATACATTGGAATATGACAAGTGAAGTTTTTTTAAAAATTAATAAATGGTACCTGCTATATAAACTTCATCTAGCTTCTCTGCAACTTTCTGTGGTAAACCAGCATCTAATAAAGTCTGGTAGTGTTCAGATCGGACAACTGCGGTGGAAGTATCCATTGGTTCTTCAGTACCATTTCCATTCATATGCTCTGTGGCCATTTTTTCAGTAGGCATCTGTAGGTACAATACAAATGCAGGAAATTATTTTTACTCCTCTGGAATTACACAAACTACTTTTTCTTGGGGGGGGGAGAAGAGAGAGAAAGTTACATCAGACATTTAACCACTTTCCTTCAAACGTAATCTTATTCATAACCGTAATTATCTCAAAATTTTGTTTTCGCTTTACCTTGAGTTTATTTTGCAGGGTCAGCCTTGGGTGTTAGCAAGAAAGTTTTCCCCCCCCCCCAGGGGGGGGACTGGGGTAAAGTTGCTGGTATTAAAACAAAGCCTTCCCGCCATTTTCACAAACTTTTATGACTCATCCCCGAGACTGACCGAGTACTTGGTAACTTGCCAAAGGGGTCGTGCGGACCAACACGTGTCGATCAGAAAGAGCAGCAGCGCCCGGGCCTCCGCTCCGGCCGTCAATCAACGCGTCCAAAACCACCCCCCACCCCCCCCCCGTGCTCGCCACCCCAGGTCCTCGGGGACCCGAATCACTCGGGCGTGAGCGAGTTGCTCGGGGAGGCGGATAAACCCGAGTCACAGGCCCACGCTGCTCCCCCGACATATTGCATTCGTTCCCGTTAAAACCCCCACCGGTCTCCTGGCCCCGCGCGGGAACAATCTCCCGAATCCCGGGAACACCGTCCCTCCCTCCCTCCCTCCGCGCTCATCCACCGCCACCTGAAACAATAGAGCTGAGGTGCCGGCTCCTCGCTCCCTCCCTGGGGTTCAGACTGAAACCCGGGCCGTCTCCCGAGGCCTCACCCGCACACGCACCAACTCTCCACCACTACACGTGTAGCGAGCGAGCGGGCGGGCGGGTTGGCGGTGCCGGCGGAGAAAGCGTGGAACGAAGGGCGAGGCTTGAGCCGGTCGGTGTCGCGGCTCGGGCCTGGTCGCGCGTTTCACGGCTCGGGCCATGCGGCGGCGGCGGCGGCGCGTCGTCGACACGCCTCGATTTTCAAACATGGCCGAAGCGAGGGCCCTGCTCCTGCCCCTGCCCCGGCCTCGCTCGGTCGCTCGTCGGCGGGCACCGACGCGCTCGAGACGCGCGTGGAAGGGACGGCCACCCGTCGCGCTGATTTGCCGCGCACACCAGGGTCCCCGCGGCGGGGTGGCGGGCGGCGGCAGAGCCGGCCGCTGCTTACCTGGCTCCGGGCGCCGACACGTCGCTCTCTCGCTCTGAGCTCTACAAAATGGTGGCCGCGCTCTCTCGCCCCCTCCCGGGCTCCACTCACGCGCTTGCAAACTCGGGCCCCCGGGGTCTCCCCGACTGCCGCGCAAGGAGCTCCAGCGATGACAGGCAAAAGCTCGCGGACCCAGCCCGGCCCTCCCATTGGCCGGCAGGGGCTGCGGGCCCCGCCTCCTCCCCCCTCCCCCCCCTCACGGGCCGGGCCGCTGATCGACAGGCGGCGCAGTCCCACCTCCTCCCCTTACAACTGCCCCATACGCGCATGCGCGGGGGGTAAGCGAGAGGGTGGGTGGGGGGGTTCTGAGGGTCAGCTGGAGCTTCAGCAAAGGATGTGGCGGATTCAAATGAAAAAGCAAAGTCACACCCTCTCGGTCTGCAATGACCGGGGCGCGAGGTTTAAAATAACATTAAATATCTAACCCGTTTGGGTGACTGAAATAAGACATTCCGTCAGTGCACAGCCAGGTTGTGAAGCTTAACCTATGTCCCCCCCTTCACCCCCCCCCCCCCACACACTCACTGCTACTGTATATCTTTACTGTTTAACGCAGGAAAGAGGTCCGTCACCACAGATAGTGCATATCAATGCACCTTCAGGAATGTGGCCGCTGTACCAGAGCGGCTCCTTACACAACAACAAGATTACATTTGTATAGCCCCTTTCACGTCGGGAAGACGTCCCAAAGCGCTTATAGGGAAGAAAGCTCTTGCCTTGGCTCATGCCAGGCAAGTCTCCAGAATCCAGAATAATGCTCCTGGATAATTATTTGCGGAGGACAGGTTTGCAGAGCTATGGAGAGCGGGGAGAGGAGTGGGATTGATTTGGATAGCTCTTTTCCAAGAGTCAGCATAGACACAATGGGCTGAATGGCCTCCTTCTCTGCTGTATAATTCTATGAAATAGGGGAGCAAGATGCTTCCCTCCAGGGAGAGAGTGTGCAAAGAAACGTTAACAACTTGAATTCAGTGTCAAAGCACTTTACCGAGTCTGATTGGGAACTCCAGTTGATAGGCAGTTAGAAGGGAAAAAGATAAAAGCAGATTTGGTGAGCGAGGTATTTAGGTGAGTTTTGAAAGCACAGAAAGAGGGGACAAAGTGGAGGTAATTTTGGAAGAGAGTTTCACAGAGTGAGGCGAAGTGGCTTAAAGACGGCCTGCGAATGGACTTTACATGGACTTTCAGAAGGCATTTGATAAGGTTCCACACAAAAGATTATTTGCAAAAATAGAAGCCCGCGATAGATTTATCGGAGGTAACCTTGTGACGTGGCTTCGCAATTGGTTGGGAGGCAGAAAACAGAGGGTAGAGATTAAGGGAACGTTCTCTGATTGGGGGGACGTGACAAGTGGTGTCCCCCAGGGGTCTGTACTGGGACCTCAGCTTTTTGCCATATACATAAATGACTTGGATGAAGAAATAAGACAGTTTTATATTCAAGTTTGTGGATGACACTAAGATAGGAGGCTCAGCAAGTAGTGAAGATGGGAGTAGGAAGTTACAGAGGGAATTAGACAGATTAAGTGAGTGGGCAAAGCTGTGACAGATGGAATTCAATGTAGGGAAGTGCAAGGTCATCCACTATGGACCGAAAAAAGATAAGGCAGAATACTTTCCTAACGGGGAGAAATTAAGAGCTGTGGAAGAGCAAAAAGATTTGGGTGTCTATATCCACAAGTCACTAAAAACTAGTTCCCAGGTGCAAAACATAATCAAAAAGGCAAATGGTATGTTGGCCTTTATCTCGAGAGGCCTGGAATACAAAGGGGAAGAAATGGTGCTTCAGCTATATGGACCCCACCTGGAGACCACATTCAGTTTTGGGCACCACACCACAGGAAAAGTATAGTGGCCTTGGAGGGGGTGCAGTGCAGATTCACCAGAATGTTATCAGGCCAAAAAGGGTTAAGTTATGAGAAAAGGCTGCGTAAACTTGGATTGTATTCCTTCGAGTTTAGAAGATTGAGGGGTGATTTGATAGAGGTTTTTAGGATGATAAAGGAAATTTATAGGGTAGATGCAGAAAAGCTAATTCCTACGTTGGGGGAATGCAAAACAAGGGGGCATAGTCTTACAATTAGAACCAGGCCAATTAAGAGTGAAATCAGGATGCATTTTTTCACTCAAAAGGGTGGTAAAAATCTGGAACTCTCTCTCCCAAAAAGTCATGGATGCTGGATCCATCCACACCTTCAAGAAAGAGATTGACAGATTTTTGGTAGGTCGGGGTATTATAGGATATGGGGAGAAAGCGGGAAATTGGATTTGAAATTCCAGTAAAGATATAGGTCAGCCATGATCTAATTAAATGGTGGAACAGGCTCGACGGGCTGAATGGCCTACTCCTGTTCCTATGTTCCTATGAATGGTGGAGGAAAGGAGGTGGCAGAGTTGATGGAACTTTGGGGCTGGAAAGTAATAGGATCTCAAGAGATTTTAGGGCCGGGGTGAGCAATTATTTTGGCTGGTGGGCCACTTCACAAGTTTTGGTAAGTTTTGCAGGCCACCCACTTAATATAGATGCAAATGCTCAATAATAGCCCAAACTCAAGTCTTACACTTGTACATGCATAAAATAAAGTCTATATAATTGACATTCATTAAAATTAGGTTAAATAAAAACAACTCATTGAGCAGACATTTATTCGATATTTATTCATTTATTCATATATTGATGAGTATGTGAGAAGCTCACTCCATGGGAAGAAGAAAAGCGCTGATGTGCGTTAACCAGATAATTGAAGTCAGGCATCATCTCCGTTGTTGCAATGCTGGTCATCAGTCATCACAGATCTATGTTTTGATTTATTGAATTTCATCACAGAAACTGTGTCCTCTCATACGTAAGTTGATCCAAACAGCACAAGCATCCTGCGGCCATGAACCTTTATTTTTGGGAAGGTATATTCATTAAGAGAGGCGTAAAAACTGGGAAGCGGCACTGCTTTGAATTGCTCCGCAAGCAATGGATCACATTGCAGGTCAATAAGCTCGAGTTGGAGGTCAAATGGGGCTTTGTCAACATTAAATGAGAAAGGTGAAGAGACCAAAGACAGGTCGTTTCCAATCAAATAGAAATCCTGGAATCAGCGAGAAAATTCGGCATGTAAGTCAAGTAGTGACGAAGTATACTTTTTAAGGCTTTGATCGCAAACAGTAATCTGCTGCAAAGTTGGAAAGTGGGAGAACAGCCTGTTTCCTATCTGACGAGATAAAATAAATAATTTTGTCATAAATGACTTGACACTGCAATACAAATCATGCACACAGGCCCCTTCCATTGCAGTTTTGAATTCAGTTCATTCATGTGGCCCATGATATCAATGGCAAATGCGAAATCAGAGCCAATTCACATCATTCAGCTGTGGGACATCTGAATTGTTTTGTTTCATGTCCAAAAATAAATCAATCTCGTTTCTCAGTTCCCACACTCTTTTCAAGACCTTTCCTAAACTAAGCCATTTTACATTTGTGCGATACAGAACATCCATGTGCTCGGATTCCAATTCCTCAAGCAGAGTTACAAATTGCCTGTGGTTTAAACCTCTTGCTCGAATGTAGTTGACCACTTTCGTAACTGTGTTCATGACATTGCTTAGTTTTAGAACACTCTTACAGAGGACCTCTTGGTGGATAATGTAGAAAAACAATATTCTGTTCTGGATTTGTTTCTTTGACTTGATCTTGAATTTTTTTGCCTGTCAGATTTGGGCTTCCATCGGTGGTCACATTCACCAATTTTTTCCACTCCACTCCTAATTTTGAGATACACTTATTTACTGCCTCCAAAAAGTCTTCTCCAGTTGTCGTATTTTTCATTGACTACATTGATGGCAATTCTTCTGTGAGCTCAAAATATTTGGTGACATCTCGAATAAAAATTATCAACTGGGCTGTGTCTTTGGCATCACAACTTTCATCAAGTGCTATGCAAAATTGCTTACTTTATTTTGTAACTGCAGATACAGGTTCTCAGAGATATCCTCGACACGTCTCACAATAGTTTGCCTTGACAAGCTAATGTTCTTGAACTGGTTTTTCCTGTCTGGACATAAAATCGAGGCAGAGTCAACCATACATTCCTTTATAAATTCTCCTTCAGAGAATGGTTTGCTGCTCTTGGCGATTTTGTGTGCAATCACGTAACTCATTCTTGTAATCTCATCCTGGGACGCAAATTGTTTTGTGAAAATGCTTTGCTCTTTTTGCATTCGAACAACCATCTCATCGGCTTTCTTTCCTTTTTCTTCAGCAGAAACGTTCTTATATTTGCAAGCATGTTTCAAAATGGCGATTCAAGTTGTAGTCTTTGAGCACTGCCACAATTTTTTTGCAAATTAAACACACAGCTTTTCCACTCACATTGTTAAAATATTTAGAAGTCAAATTTGTGCAACATTCTGAGACTGAACAAACTATAATTTTTTTCTATTGCTAGGCACAATGACAGGCCGGATATGGCCCGCAGGCCGTATTTTGTACACCCCTGTTTTAGCGGTAGAGTGAGGCGAGGCCATGAGGCATTGAAAGTGAGGACAAGGATCTTCATAGTGAGGTTGGTGAGGGACTTTAGTAGTTTGGCTGGCTTTTGTTTGTACAGGGACCATTTTGATGGCTTCAGGGAAATGGTGTGTTTTTTAAGTGTCTACTGGAACATTTATATTTGATACTTACTTGTTTCTACAAGAACAGCTTTATTTCGTCATTGTTGTCTCAACCACACCTGAAAACGTTTCTCTTTGGCTGTACGTAAGGTCACCTCTCCCCAGCTTGGAGTCAAGCTTTGCCACTTTTAAGCCTCCAAAACACTATCCGGTCTGAAGGGCGCTATATAAATGCATGTTGTGGTTGTTCAGTCTAGAAAGAAGTACCTGGACTCAACATGCTTTTGTAAACTAGCTTTGTTCTGCTCTAAAGCAGAAATTTAAGTTATCAAAAAGAATGAGACTCTTAGTCACCTGACGTCCCTGGTCTTTCTACTACCCTTGACAGAACTTGTTTTGTTATATAATCATCCAGCACTGCCTGATCTGCTGTTGCTGCAAGTATTATGAACCCCAAAACAAGACTGGAAGAGTT